AACAGATATTGAAACGACATCCCTTCCCCCTTCCCCTCCCCCTCCCTTCCCCCTTGAATCCAGGAGCTTACAGTACTAACGCGACCTAGTTGACTAATTACCTATATGACCTAGATGACTTAGTGCTTCTGTGAGGATTACCACTTCTAAAAGGATAATTTGGGACAAACAAACTGCATGTCATTAGTACTTTCAATGTAAATTTCGCTTAAAAATGGTAAAAACGACTCACAAAAGTAGCGATATAAACGTAACCCCTCCGATACTAAAGACTACACCTGAACTAAATCTTTTTTTAAATAACGTGTCCCCTTTACATTCCAGCCGAACAAAACCACGTATGAAAGCGTGACAGTATTTTGTCCATCGGAGCGGGCGGAGCTGGTGGACCTGCTAACGTCAGAGGACATACTCCTGGATCTCACCCAGCCATTGTACCTGAACTTCACTCACGAAGCCATCGTGAACCGCTTCGAGAAGCACTATGAAGCGCACGACAAGATTACTGGCGACGTCTACGTCTGTGATAACCCACCTCAAGACGACAGTACTGATGGGTATACACATATAAATGTCCTTTTCTATAATTAAGGCCGACTTTAGTAAAGTTTGGTCAATTCTAGAGGTACAACATTGTAACTTTTGATGATTCATGATTTTCTGATTGTCTGGCTTTATGTTATCTGACATTCGATTAACTTTTCAAGTGTTACATAATAGTTAAAACTGTTTCAGATTGCCACCGGACGTGGAGTTAGTTCGCTTGCAGCCCGAGCACATGAAGGCGGTTCACGACCTGTACCCGGCCAGTGACATAGAATGCCGCGAAGTGTTCGAGAAGCTGGTCGCCGAACTGCCCGCTTACGGAATTTTCGTCGAAGGAGAGTTAGCTGCTTGGATGGTTCAGTCGTACTACGGCGCTATGTTCTCCATGCAAACTAGGCCCGAATTCCGCAGGAAAGGCTACGGGATATACTTGGCCCGCCGTCTCACCAAAGAGGTAGCAGCCCGCGGCTACAAACCCTTCGTCGTCATTCGTCCGGAGAACGACGCGTCCCGGTCTCTGTACACGAAGCTCGGTTTCGAGAAACGTTTCCGAACGGTGCGCGCCGTTTTGCGTCCCCGCTAACGCGTTAAAGTTGATCACTAGCAGATTTTATTTTTTTAAGACTTTTGAATAAAATCAATTTAGCTTGCGATCTTTGATCGCCTAGAGAATTTTAGTAGTAGCTTTAAGATGGAGCGGCTAGTGCTCTCGGTCCGACCCGGGTCAATATGACAAGTGATAGCTCCGTTGTGGCGTTTGTACGAGCCAATATCAGTCGTGCCAGCCCTCGACTCTTCAGCCAATCAAAATATTTCAAGGGCTCCTGGTGATTGGTATAACTCCGGCTCCGAGTACAAGCACACTTAGACTTTCTATACATAGGGCCTCTGCGATAATTAATTTTCAGCCGTTAGCGTTTTTAATCTCCTAGTATCTACTTCTTGATAATGACAACGAATGGCTTTCTTGTTGGGCGTTACATACAAGTCTGCCTACATTTTGATACGTATATAGCTGATGCCTCATCACGCTTCCAGTCAGATTCGAGAGCTATAGCCGTTGCTGCGTTCTCCGGCGCTAGCCTAGAAACTGATCTCAAAATACTGAGTTCACTGTACTTTGGAACCTGGCATTTAAAGATCCGTAGGTCTCGTCACTGGTACGCTACGTTGATGACAGGTTGAGGACACCAAACCACCATAATTTAAAAATTAAAACATTCCTTCTAGTATTAAGACAATAAGTTATTTATGTTAACGGAACATGTAGGTACCTTCCATGTGGCGCGGGCTTAAGGAATCTTTACATGTATCAGATACCCAAGACTTGTGAACCTGGTCATACTCATTTAGGCGAACGCTTCATTACCACTCGTTGACCGAGCGGAAACTATTCTGTCTCATGGTTTATAAAATTTTTGGGACCCGTTTTGATCTGTGTGATAAAAATGTTAGAATTTAACATTGAAATACTTGAAAATTACATGAGAAAGAAAGGTTGCCGACGTTGCACCCAGTTTGCACAATTCGACAAATTTTATCAAGCACCTTTTAAAAATGAACAAACGCGACGAAGACAAAAAAAACATAAAAAAAGTAAAAAAAAAACGTTAAACAATTTCGAACATTTTAATTTCTTAACGTACTAAATCAACAAGTGGGACTGTTAAGCAATGGGCGAACATGACAATTATTTTTAATTTTAAATTTAAAAAAGTGATTTGCGATACAAAACAATCAAAAACAATAAATAAATGAACTTGTTGTCTAGATATTTTCATAAATATAGAAGTAAAAATAACTGTGACTAGATTTCTGTTAGTTATTATTAGTTTTTTATAGTATACAAGTTTTATATATCAAGTACATGGAAAATCATTTAAAATTTGATACGAAAACGTAGATAGGTAGGTATTATAATACGGGAATGTATTTTACGATTGTAATAACGTATCTAATTAAAAAAAATCGTTTGCTATCCTTATACCTGAGTATTAATTATTTAGAATCATTAAGTTAATCATCGATTTATTAAGTAATTATGTAATTATATGGATATTATTGTGTGATATGATAATATTTATTGCTTTTTGAATATTTTTATTAATTTGGCCAATTTGTAGTATTTATTCTGTCTTCCTAAGACGTTATTATAAGTATGATGGACAACTCTTATGACAAAACGAGTGGTGTGTAAAAAACTCGATATAAATATGATAAATAATGAATTAATTAATTACGCTATTCTTTCTTTACTGGATAGAAGATGTACCTAGTTTGTATTGTACTGTATCCATTTATTTGCACGTAGTATTAACTCCGCTGTTCTGAAATCAAAGAGATCGGCAAAGGCCTGAATTGTAAAATTAAGTATTGCTCAATAATTGGAGCTTCCGATTATTAAATTCAATATGTAAATTGCCAAATTATTGATTGTGTATTGTTCTTGCATTTTATTATTGTAATTTATTATTGATTACTTACTTATAATATGAATTGTGCTTGTCTTTATTTGTGTATAGTTATTGAACTGGACGATAGATTGGACGAAGATTTGGTATTACCTACTATTCATTGTTTTGTCATTTCTACGAGATTTTTCTTATAAACAGATTAACATGTCAAATGTGATGTTCAACTGTTTATTTGAAAACGTAGGTACACTCATTCCATAGAATCATGCTAAAAGCTTACCTACATACGAGTAGGAACATGTCGAATAAGTAGATCGAGATTTCTTGAAATTATTAATTATAAGTAACATTTTCTCTGAACACTCCCTTAACTTACTTATGTATCTAATAAAATAAATAAAAAATATAAACTAAAAGGACAAGCTTTCCGTCCTATACTGCAGTTGACATAATCGCAGTGTACTTCAATTGAACAGAAAATAATAATGAATTTAGGATCCATTCTGTATTCTATTGTTTACCGGTTTGTCACCTAACTACCAACCTTGCAAAGGTATTGAGAAAACAATAAAAATAAACTTGAAATGTTCTGTTTTATTTTATAATGCCCTATCCTATTTATTTGAGTACTATAAATAAAACCAGGTAGGTAATAGAACTACCTTGATAGATAAAGAAATATCAGATTGGGTTCAATTAACAGATAGAGCAAATTATTATATTCGCATTTTATATTTCTAAAAGATAGACATAACTTCACGCCTTTTTATCCCCGAAGGCGTAGGCAGAAGTCCACATTACGGCACTTAATGCCATTGTACAATGCACTAACCCACTTTTCACTATCTAAGTTATGAGCCCCATGTATCTTAATAGGGGGTGAGCCTATTGCCATATACCGACCATAATTCCAGACTCCGTGCTACTACTGAGATTTTTTAAAAATAACCCAGTAATACTTTGCCCGACCCGGGAATCGAACCCGATACCCTTGCCCGGCAATCGCACTTGCGACAACTCGGCTAGCGAAGCAGTCGTTAATAAATATATGATAGTTTATTTCTAAAAGATCGGTAAGAAATACAGAGACTAATGCTCTAATTAAGTAATGCCTTGTGCTCTCCTGATGCTCTGAGAACTTACAAAACCGCTCCTTATAGTTTACAAATACTGAATAGTTTAGGGTAGAACTAGCTATTTTTACATAACAGATGAAACCTGGTAACATTACGGAGTGACGTAATATTTCATGATCTAAAGTAGGACTTCCATGAGCTGCGTAAGAGAGCTGGTATAGTCATAACCTCAAAATTGCGCATTGCAGGCTCTACGACAAGTTACCTACTTAATTGCTATTATAGAAAGAGCAGGGACATGATTGTATAGTCAATGATTAAAGTAAAAATCTAGACTAGTTAAACTAGTTTAATACTATTTAAACGGTTATTTTCGAAAGATAGAAACTAACAGTCGGTACCTAATTATAATTGGCATGCCTAATGATAATTAATTATAGTAATGGAAGTGGCATTAAGTCCCCCTTGTGCAATCTGCAATTTCATAAATATAAATACCACTACTACAAGTAGGTACTACGCTACAGTACTACAATACAAGTAGCTATTTAGCGTATAAGTTATATTAATCATTCTGATCAGTTAGTTTCGTTTTGATTTTCGTGCTCTAGATAGCGCTACATGGCTCATGCCCCTTGCCCTTCATGCTTAAACTATAGTATATTGCGGAACGCCATCGTTTCGTTTTGCATGGTATTTAAAAATGGAATAATTATTACCAGACTAAAAAATATTATTGTACTGAAAAGTAACGTCGGAAATAAAAACTGTCATCCGGTTTGTATAATCTATGACTATTACTGTCATTGTCAAAAGGTGCATCATGGCGACGGTATCACGGTAGACCAATGTTTGATTCAATAATCAATGACTGTTTTACGTTGCTATCTTGTTAATTATTACTTGTTGTAGTGCTACAAATATTGTTATGCGTACTGAACGTTAAATCTAATTTGTTAAGACTATGACGAGCTTGATAGATAAAATAGAACAACTAATAAAACGTGAAAAAACAACACCCGAGCGTAAAAAAGATGACTCGAAAAAGTCATCCAGTGAGATTCTCTCGGAATTGTTTAGTGCTTTTAACGCAGATCCCCCGAAGATAGATGAAGTTCCTTCTAAGAAATCAAAGAAGAGTAAGAAGAAGCATAAGAAAGAAAAGAAAAAACGCAGCCGGAGTTCTAGCAGCGACAGCTCGGACGATAGTGAGTACACACATAAGCGGAAAAAGAGAAAAAAGAGTAAGTCTAAAAAACGGGCTAGAGAGAGTCGGTCTCCCTCATACCCGTACCCACTAACACCGGTCCGAGTTAAACCAGAAAATGACCACGTGAAAATAAAACATGAGAAAGAAATCAAACAAGAAGATGTTAAACCTAAGGAAGTTAAAGTTGAAAAGGATGTTAAAAAGCATGTGGCAATTAAAATTGAAGATGATTCCATTTCATTGTCACCTCCACATCCCATGTCTATGTCTACAGACTGTAACAAGACTATAGACTTGCGGGATAAACTGGACAGTAAGAAGGCTGAGGCTTGCAATGCAGACAATGATAAGTCTAAGGGTAAAATTCAAATAAAGAATCTTAAATTTAGTGCTGTATATGAGGAGACGGTGAAGAAAGCTGAGGAAGAGGCTAGAAGGAAAGCAGAAAAATATGAAGAAGGTGAATACACAGATTCATCTAGCAGTATTGAGAAAGAAATTGTATGCAACTCACAGTTTCCTAAAACTTCAGATCCTGGAGGTATACTTAAGAAACAAGCTGAGGAAGAATCAAAAATGTAAGTAATATTTATCTTTAATTAAAAGTCGGGAAAACCAGTTAAAAGTTTGTTTATTAATAAACAGCTGTTATAAGTGTGGGGCCTCTTTGTGATGTAAAAATTCTTTCAATTTAACATGTTTAAATTGATTATAATGTATTTATTGACTAGTGGACAAAAGCTACTTTCAAAACATTTGTAATGCATAGTTTATATTACTATAAATGAAGTAAAAACAATATTTCAAAAATATATTAACCTATTTATGTCTTTAATTTGCAGTGAAACAAATGGCGAATCAAAATCTGCTTCAAAGAAAAGTAAAAAGTCTGAAAGCTCATCAAAATCATCAAGGCGAGATAGAAGTAAATCTCCTAAAAGGTATGTCTGTAACTAGAAATAGTAATTCAAATTAAAACAACAACTATTACATTGAGTACAAATTAAAACACCTAATATTGGTCTACTTAATCACCTAAGACTTGCATGTAGAAGTCAACATTACAATTAGAAAACCTGATTCTTACAGCTATATTCATTAGTTAATTACTAATACTTACTGACTGATGAAAAGAACCTGCTTTTTGTGTTCACCTGTAGTGATTGTATCACTGCATAAAAGCCTGTAGTAAAATAACTCAGTACAGGTTTTTTTGAGATACAATTCAAATTGCAAGTCAATCAACATCGAATGGATCCTTGAATTAATAAGGGCGACAACTAGTGACTGATATCCCAGTGTCACTTATCCGCTTGAATGCACCAATATGAGACACAGTAGAAAATACATTTAGACACACGACGGGTTAAAGCTCCAGAAGACATTGTCGACATTTAAAAAGAAAATGGGTTCCCATAAATATAAATTTAACTATAATTTAAATTTTTTGTAACAGGTCTAGCAGTAAATCAAGGAGATCATCTTCAGCATCTAGGAAGCGTCATCATCGTTCCAGTTCTAAGACACGACATAGCAGTCGTTCACGACATCGGTCCTCATCTCGGTCCCGAAGGAGGTCAAGGTCGCGATCGCGGCGAAGGTCGAGATCAAGATCACGACATAGGACCAGACGGTTGTCGCCTAGACATGGAGGAAGGAGGAGATCAAGGTTTGTTTAACTCCTTTATTGTCTTTATAGTCACTAAATCTAACTCATAGTTGTCACAATAATATTAATTTCATGTCAACACATTGAATTATCCTTACATAAATGGGAAAGTGAGTTTGTTCCGCTTACACGCCGTATCTTCTAAATCGATTGCTTTGAATTTTTGTAGAAGTCTGGATTAAATAATAGGGTACTTTTAATCCCGGAAAATTTTGATATTCCCGAGGGAAAACAAAAGAATTGGTATAGATGGCGCTGTGTGTATGGCACATAGGCTACTTTTATCCTTTTGTGACGCGAGCGAAGCCGCGGGTAAAAGCTAGTGTAGTTCACATATAATAAATTTGCTTTAACTTTTTATAAAATAATCATGAAAAGTAGCTCTAAATTAAGCATAAATAACTATTTTACTCAAGGGCATGCCAGAGTATTATATTTTAAAACTAACATGCTGCATTTGATAATTATCCACACACAAACGGCACCTATTAACCAAGCGTCACCTATTCATGTGTGACAAATATAATTTTTTAAATTAAATGTTGTGCTCATTTTTCATGTGGTTTAATTTCATCAAGATTTTGTTACAAGAAGTTCTTTTCACAGAATTATATAACGTAGTATTTGTAACACAAATATTTATTAAAATTATGGTTTAATTTAAAGAGATGTTATTTATTTTTATGAGGAATATTTAAGAATATAAGTTTCTTTCTTAGGTCACCAACCGGTGTTAAGTTAGCAGATAGTGAAAAGAAACGACTGCTAGAAGTTGCTAGAAGGAATGCTATAAACATGCTCAAGAATGGCGCAGTCCCCGCCGGAGCCGCCGCTTTGCCGCCACATACTAGGAATCAAGTAATGGCTGCAATTCAGTCTGGAGGTTAGTAAGATTACTTTTTATACTGGTAAAAACAGATTTTATGATGAAATGTGTCGTAAATATTACAACTAAAGAGTGAAAGAGAACAAGGATGATCAAATATACTTACGAAATACCATCTTCTTTATTAGTTTTGTTTTTTGTGATACAAAAAAAAAATTTTCTCTCTCTCTTTGCTGTTTGTTTATTCTCCGTACCTTATTTTTCGCTGATTTTCTACTTAAACCCTAAGGGTGACTGGTAGAGAATGCCATACGGCATTAACTCGTCGAGTACCGTATTTATAGACACAATTAAAGAACAATAGGTTGCGGTCACCGGTGACCGCTTGGTGTTTGACAGTTTAAGTTCGCCTTATGTGCCATAATAAAATTTTGTACATAAAAGAATAAATAAATCCTTTTGCTATACTAATGATGTGTTCAATAGTCTCCTATGATGATGATGTACATTTCTATACTCCATGTTGTTTTTCGAAAATCCTTTTATTGAACCGGTTATTACCAAACTAATGTACACAGGGTGTAAACGGAATGCTCTATAAAAATACTGACAGGTGATGATAAAAATAACAAGTTTTATTTTCATAAAAGTAAGGAATGAAATATTTCTTTTTAGTTATTATAGTTGTAATCAACTGCTCAAGGCTGATGTTTCATGAATAACACGAAACCAAAAACGATTAATTTGTAAAACAATTTCTTTTTGTCAGCGTTTCGGGAGTGTTCCATTTGCACCCTGTATTTAATCCTATTAACTAGTAAATAAACCCCATGATTAAATAAATACCAATGGGAAGTACCAATGTGACTTTTTCCGAGTTATATGTACTTTCTAAGATTATCTAGACACCACTGACAAACGGGGAAGGAAAATATCGTGAGGTAACCTGGGCTTATAATTTCTAATTATAAGTTTGTAATCGCGCAAACCTTCTCCATGTGAGAAGAGGCTTTGTTCAACAGTGGGGATTTATAGGCTATTGATGAAATGAATGATGATTTAATCATGTCCTATTACAATATAATGTAAACAAATAATATTATTAACAGGTAAATCAGTAGATGAACTGACAGACTTCTGCAAGCACTTGTCCAAGAAAGAAGCTCTAGGTGAACTATCATCTGTCTCATCAAACGACGATGATATGAGTGAGAACGAAGATACACTGGCATTCCACCATCCCTTCCTTGTTAAGGAGAAGGCTCCTATTGTTATGAACATAAGGGTGAGTTTTCTATGCTTATTTCATATCTTTTGATAAGATTTATTGAATATATTTTGAATATATAAATATATTTTAATATTTTTATTTGCCAAACGTGATGCAAAGCAGCATTGTTATTATTATGTACTTTTAAGGTTTTTACTGGTGCATTCCGGTTATTTTTAGTAATTCTATGGCTATGTTGTTGCCATACACTGGCCATAACTCCAAATTCTGTGCTATTACAAATAATTTACGAATAAAAACAGTCAAATAATGCTTTGGAATGTAATCCAAAGACGCTTACTTGACAGTTTCTTTTATAAGTACTCAACGAATTACTAAATTGATTACAACAATTAATATTGTCGTAAATATAACATTTATATTTCTTTCCAGGGAGGCGCTCCACTACCAATAAAAACGAATCCTCTTCCTATAGCCAACAAGGAGGAGCTAAGGCTTCAATTCCCCGTGTCTTCAGGATCTCAACATCGGGAGAAAGCATCAGAATGGGTGCCCGTCTCACCGCCTAAGAAGGACATGGTAAGATTTGAATCTTATCTATCGCCCAGGCGGTCACCGGTGACCGCTCTCCACTTACTCCATTATAGACCTTATTTTCGATGTTTAGAGACTACTTTTGTATGAACAAATGTTGTGGATTTTGCGTAATCATGGATTAAGAAGTTATACTTATTTAGCCATTTATTTAGCCTGGTTGTGATGTTGCGATGAGTTTCCCCGATGTAACTCGAGCCACAGTTGTACGGTATTATATACACTACGGGCACAGCTAGCAGACCCTTACCCTTAGGTGAGCGTAGTAAATGTCTCAATTAACCAGGTAGGCAGAAGATGGTCCTGACACAATATTTTCGGCGCACCAGGTGTCGAATACTCATGATGAAGAGTCATAAACGGCTATGATTCGAAACTACTATGGTTTTTCTCATTATTTCATGTGTTAAAAACTGATATTTTGAAATAATTGAGTATGTCGCACGATAGTTATTATACAATTGTGGTTTTGTAATACTCTATTTTCAAGACTTCATTCTAGCCTCCACAGATACTTTGATCACTAACCATGATGATAATTTAATCTAAATCTTAAACTATTGTTGATAAAGTTCACAATTCCAGCATTTAACCCATTTTTATTGTTTACAGCAAGTAGCAAAGCTCAACTCCACTAGTTCTAAGACTAAATCTACCACTGCCTCCACTTCTTCATCAACAAACACATGCACGGATATTGCCAAGTAAGTATCACCTTTATTGTAATGAATATAAGACATACTTTCAATTCACAATGCAGTGTTCTTAATATTTCCTTTTTGTTTTAGAATATCTGAAAGATCTTTAAGTCCACCTGCTTATATGAAAAGTTTCACTTCTGGAAGCCGTAAGTATGATTTTTATTGATATACAAAGATACTAGCGACAATAACATCTGGATTAACTAAACGTTTCATACATTTCTAGTTCTGACAACAAGGAAAATAAAACAAACAAAGAATAATTTAATTAGACTATTTTTCTCGGTTAATTAGCATAACTGTTCAACAGTTACTCGACTTGTTCCGACCTACACCAGGAGCCCATAACCTCGTCGAAAAGTTACGAGAGAAACCCGCAACCCTATTAATTTAATAATCTTTTATTCATAACATTGTCTAGATAAACAACTTACTATGACCTACAATTATCTTTCTCTTATTACATAAAAGCTATTACTAGGTTTATAGCTGATAATAATAATTATTGATCAATATTAATAGCATTAATTATAATTTACCGTTGCATGCCAAGGTCGTGAGCTAATTGAGTAGTTGCCAGGGTATGAAAATTAAAAATCTAAATAATCCGTCAGTTACATAATGACACAATAATGTCACAAAAATCACGTATTTTTTTCATTTCTCGTATAAAGTTGCAATACTTAGATAAAATGGCGTTAAGTTTAGGAGTGCGAGGTTGTAGCACGCTGTGACGTCACACGATATTTCGAATTAATATATCGTCCAAAGTATTTAATTTTGTGAGAAAAATATACGCATCTAATGTTTTAAATTAATCTACCAGACGGACAATTAAATAAAATTTAGGAAACTAACCTATTACTATTATTGGTATTTGGTATTGGGTCGCGGTTTAACCTTTTCGCCGCCCAGCTATACTAAACACGATGTGTCGCCGTACGCCAACGTATAAATGTATAATAAATGTATAGTACGAAAGTAGGGATGGCGGTAACATCATGTCGATAATGAAAAAAAATATGTGTAAATTTAAATTGGTACTCAAATTTACAATTAAAAATACAAACTGTTAAGTTATAATGGTAATTTGTTTTATTTTATGAACATTTATACTAAGAAAAATGGGTATCCGTTATCAGAGATGAAGATACATGCATAGAGTTGCTAGAGATAATAATAATAATTCGTAACATTAGCCACTTCACTATTCATTTCATAACGTAGTCTGTTTACTTCATATCAAGTCATTGGCGTTCAAAGCACGATACATTTCGTAAGGAATAGTTGTCTATGCTTTTCTTTCTTTCTATCGAGTTTGGTTTGCTTTTGGTTTTAGTTTACATTTAAAATCTAACGTCAGGTCACGATCAGGAACATTGTTTGTAGTGATTAAAAGTGGCAACATATGTGTAGTTTTGGAAATGGATGGTAAGTAACTATTTTAATACAGATGTACTAAACTTTAATAGCTTATTTTTCATTTAATGCAAATGAAAAACTGGCACGTTTGATGGATATTAGGTAGTCATAAAATACCTATTCGTTGCGGCTCTCGGTTTCGCAAACTTTTAGCTGTGTCGGCGAACAAATATAGACCTGAGTCGATCACAAATTTTTCGCGACCCAAACAGTTTGTAATCGAATCAAAATGACTCAATCATTTGGATATTTCATAATCATGAAAATAATTATAGGTATAGGCCGTGCGATTAATCGATTAAGTGCGATTGCGTGCGTACACGCGTCGCTCGGAACTATGACACAATGACCTTGACGCCTAAGCGCTTACGACGTCATAGGTTTACTTCTATTGAAGTTGACGGCGCTAGTGTCACTCGACATCTTGCCATTACGTAGAGATGGGTCTACCAATATCGAAAACCCTCAGTACATAATAATTAATTTTAATGAAATGATTTGATAGGTAGATGTACATTAATTTTGAAACGCATTGTAATACGTTATTTACTGACCGGAATTTCTTTTTATTCATAGAATTCAAAAAACTATTGGATGGAAAAGAAAACAAATATTATAGTAAATAAAGATTCTAATGAATGCTCCTTACGCGTCACATCACTGGCCTACTTGATATGAAGTCGTTGGCGTGCGGGATATAAAATTATTTGAAACCTTTTATGTTTTACCTTTTTAAAACAGAAAATAGTCTGTTTTGCATGAGAAAAAATAGTTCGTCGTGTCCATATTACAAAATTACAAAGAAACAAATGTTTTATGTATCGTAAATGTATTTTTTATAGTAGGTAGATACAATGAACTTCTATAGAAGTAGTGGCGTGGACGGCACGAAAATCCTGAACTTCTATAGAAGTTGTTGGCGGCGAAAAGGTTAAGAAAGTAGTAAAAATATGAAAAGTAATTTATTTTAATGTAATGTTCTAGAGCTGAATTCAGTGCCTGCAATACCCGCGTTACCAGCTCCGGGTCCACAAGCTTATCCACCAGGCGTAGATGCACAGAAGATGGTACGTATAACTCGAATATTTACTCTAAGTCACGACGAATATTATACGAATATATATTTTTTTATACTAAAAGCTAAATTTTATTCTACAGTTAAATTTTATTCTACAGCTAAATTCTTTATTGTGTGACTCATTGACAACATTCCATTTTTCTGTATTTACAGCAAGACGTGGCGTTGATCGTGTCGCAGAAACTGTCTTTGATTCGCAAGGAACAAGAAGAGACCGAACTTTTTACCACACATGGGGTGAGTTATTTTGTACCATATATCCTTATCATCATCATCATCAGCCTGTATTCGTCAACTGCTGGACATAAGCCTCTCCTATGACACGCCACTGAGCTCGGTCTTCAGCTCTTCTCATCCAACCACTGCCAGCCACCTTACAGATGTCGTCACTCCACCTAGCTGGAGGGCGCCCTACACTGCGTTTGCCTAGACGCGGTCTCCACTCTAGAACACGTTTACCCCAACGGTTATCGGTTCTTCGACAAATGTGACCGGCCCACTGCCACTTCAGCATACTGATCCTTTGGACTATGTCGATAACTTTGGTTCTCTGTCGGATCACTTCGTTTCGGATTCGATCCTTCAAAGAGACTCCGAGCATAGCCCTCTCCATAGCTCACTGCGCGACCTTAAATTGGTGGACCAGTTGCACTGTCAGTGTCCACGTCTCGGCTCCGTATATCCTTATACGCAGATCTTAATTTACAAAGTTAAAATTCATTTCTAAATTCTATTATTATTTTCGCAGTTTGGTTGGTCAGCGGGTGAATCATCACTTGGTCAGTTCACCGGTTCAACAGGAGCTCAGATATTAACACCGAGGGAACTAGCAAGTGGTACACAAGCGTGGGCCAAAAAGGTACAAAATTATATTCTAAACTTTAACATCATACTGTATAACATTACTTCAGTGAAATTGTTCTTTCATTTTTACCAAAATTGTTTTTAAATGCATTTTTTATACATGACGTTGCGTTTAGCGTTTTTCATAATTGCATTGCGTAGATTATTCCCTTTTCTACATTAATTCAGACGTCTGGAAGCGGCGTAAATAGAATTTTTGGAATAGCGCAGTAAGCTAATACAGAAAAACGTTCTTGGCAAAAAGGATCTCATTGTAATTTGAACCTTAATGACATTTGAGATCTATAAACACTGGTACATGATTGAAGAACATTTTCCTGTATCCAGTATCTACTAAAAGCATAATATAATGTGTTGTAGTATACTTAGTCATGTCTTAAATTACAAATAAAAAAATCAATTTGACAAAGACATCTAGGTTGATACTTATTCTGATTGATTTAGGTGTCTTTTTTAAACTATAATATCTTTGGATAAATACAATTTATATTAAAAAGTGTGATTATGAAAGAACAATATGCTTGTAGGGGTCAAAAATAATGTTCAATAGAATAATTAGAGGTAATTCCAGAACTAAACTTTATTAAAATAAAAATGCACGACTGAGCGATAAAACTATATTCACGGAACAGGGCGGAAGTACAAGAGAAAAAACATGACAACACAAGTGAACGGAGTGACACTGACAGTTAATACAAAAACGTCACATTACATTATGTTATCTGTGGTTTGTAATTAGTAAACTAATCACAACATCCTCTTCTTAATTGCAAACCCATAGCAGCTGAACAGTCTTCAGTTTTCTTCTGAGAAATTGGTTTTGTTAGCACGTCGGCGACCATATCCTGAGTGCCAACATAGCGGAGCTCGATGTCCTTTTCAGCAGCCCTTTCTCGAACAAAATGATACCTTATATCGATGTGTTTGCTGCGGGCACAATAAGAGTCATTACCTGTAAATTTAATTGCACTTTGGTTGTCACAATAAATTATGGTAGGTGCAATTGTAGCCTTCCAATATAGCTCAGACTCTAAATGCCGCAGCCACATAGCTTCTTGTGTGGCAGTAGCCAGTGCCATATATTCTGCCTCCATGGTGGATAATGCAACAGTGTTTTGACGTTTAGAACACCATGAGACAGCAGCACCCTGAAACAGAAAACTGTAGCCAGAGCAAGATCTCCGGCTGTTAATATCCGAAGCCCAATCGGAGTCACAGTAGCCAAACACTCCTGTTTCTTCTGCATTTTGGCTGAACTTTAATTTGCAATCCTTTGTTCCTTTTAAATACCGTAGTACTCTTTTTACTGCTGACCAATGTTGTACTTCAGGTTTGTTGTTGAAGCTACTCAATTTGTTTACTATAAAACATATGTCTGGTCTTGTACCTTGTGATAAATAAAGTAAACTTCCAATTGCTTCTTGATAAGGAATATTGTAAGCAATATTATTGTGCTCTTGTGTGCTAATCAATTTTAAATATCACATGGTGAATGAACTGGATTACAATCTGTCAAATTGAACCTTTGTAGAATCTTCTCTATATAATTAGTTTGATCAATATAAATTTGATCCCTGGTTACATTTTGATTTATTCTCCAACCAATAAAATGATTCACAGGTCCAAGCATTTTCATATTAAAATTGTTTCCAAGTTGTTGCTTTATTTCTTCACCTTTCTCTATGTTGTTATAGAATATTAATAAATCATCCACATAAATCAATATGATGATAATGCTTTCATCTTCATTTTTATAATAAACACATGGGTCTACAGATGTGCTTTTTAATCCCAGCTGTTTCAATACAGAAGTTAGTTTCAAGTTCCATTGACGACTTGCTTGTTTTAAACCGTAGATAGATTTATTTAATTTGCAGACTTCTTGACCATGTTCATAACCTGGTGGTTGACTCATGAAGATGTCAGTGTCTATGTCACCTTGCAGAAATGCTGTAACTGCATCCATTTGATCTATGTATAACTTTTCTTTGACAGCCAATGCAAACAAATATCTAATAGAGGTATGTCTTACTACCGGAGCGAAGATCTCATTGTATTCAGTTCCTTTCTTCTGTTTGAAACCTTTAATAACTAATCTTGCTTTGTATCTTATGACTTTAGCATCTGCATTAGTTTTCAATTTATAAACCCATTTGCAAGGTATTATTCTTCTGTCTTTAGGAAGAGTTACTAATGTCCAAGTATTATTCTGAAGGAGTGATTCATACTCACTGTCCATGGCTTCTTTCCACTCTTTTGCATTCAGACCTGAAAGAGCTTCTTCCACAGTCTCTGGTTCCTTTAATAATACTGCTGAATTAGTTGGTTTTTCTTCTTGACAAAGATATGTATTAGGTTTAGTATTCCTAGGTCGGAGGTTCATTTTTCTTAATGGTATGGTATCTTGTTTAAAGTTCTCCGGTGTGTAATCTGGATCATTTTCAAATTCTAAGTTTGATAAGTCACTGGTGGCATCAAATAATTGTTCCTCTTCTGAACTTTCATTTACTAAAGTATCAGTATCACATTCATGTTGAACAGTACTTTCCTGTTGCTGCAGGTTAGTAAGCGGCATAATGACACAATTGTTTTTAACTGTGTGTTCCAAGAAGACAACATCTCTGCTCTTAAATATGCGTTTTTTTATCTTCATCATAAAATCTGTAACCTTTAGTATAATCGCAATAGCCAACAAATATCATTTTAACTGATTTTGAATCCCACTTTTGTCGATTTTCCTTTGGTACATGAACCATAGCTTGACAGCCAAATATTTTCATATTTTTTAGGTTAGGTTTTTTACCTGTCCACATTTCATATGGTGTCTTGTAATCCAAAGCTTTTGTTGGGCAACGGTTAGTAATATAAGCGGCTGTTGAAACTGCTTCAGCCCAAAACATTTTAGGTAACCTGGAATTCAAAATTAGCTCTCTCCACTAATGTGCGGTTCATCCTCTCGGCCATGCCATTTTGTTGAGGAGTATGTAGATTACTAGTTTGATGCTGGATACCAAATTTACACAGAAACAATTTAAAATCTTTATTTATATATTCTCTTCCATTGTCTGAACGTAATATCTTAATCTTTTTATTAGTTTCATTTTCAACTAAATTCTTATATTCTTTAAACTTTTCTAATGTTTCAGATTTATTTTTCATGAAATAGACAGAAACCTTCCTACTGTAATCATCTGTGAATGTAACGTAATATCTGGCACCCCCAATAGAACTCGTCTCCATCGGACCACATAAGTCGGAGTGGATCAATTGGAGCAATTCAGAAGCTCTAGTACCAGTATTATTGAATGGTTTTCTACACATTTTTCCTTCTAAGCAAGTTGTACAAAACTGATTGCCTAGTTTTAATAATTCTACCCCTTCTGCACTATCTGTTATTTTCTGTAAGTCTGTGAAATTGAGATGGCCCATCCTCTGATGCCATAGATTTATATCTTTCTCATTTACTGTCGATAGCAATGCCGGTGCTTCAGAAACATTGTTTAATACATACATGTTATTGCGATGCAGAGCTGTCAATATTAATTTATTATTCTGATAAATTCTACAACCATTTCTCTCAAATTTTACTTCACAGCCATTGTTTACCATTCGACTTACAGAAAGTAAATTTACTGTTAGTGTGGGTACAAATAGAACATCTCTAACCTGTATTGTCCGTATTATGCCATCTGAGTCAATTACTTGTAAATCCACCTTGCCACTACCTTTTACTGGAGCTGTTTTATTGTCAGCAACTTTGATGTTGTTGATTGTAGTTGGATTAACATCATACATCCGATCCCTATTGTTGCACATATGTAATGATGCACCGGAATCAATGTACCAGGAGTTTCCATCCAACTCTGCAGCAACTGGAAAAGCGGCAAAATAGCTGTTATTTTTACAATTATCATGGTAAGCGGAGCTTTTCTTTTTGTCTTTGAAATAGCATTCTTTACTCATGTGCCCATGCTTGTTACATACAAAGCACCGTGGGCCTTTGCCATGCTTTTTAACATGCGATTGGTTATGTGGATTATGATTAGGCAGTAACTTATGCATATTTTTATTATATGACTTAGCATAGAAAGCAGCAGAATCTGATACCTTAACCTCTTGCAATAACTTAGTTTTTACATAGTCAGCAGTAATATTCACACCAGAGCTCTCTAAAGCCATTATCATCGGTTTGTAGTAATCAGGGAGGCCAGCGAGCAGCAGTGTACCAAGCCACTCGTCTCCTACTATAAAATTGATATTTCGAAGCTTGTGAGCTGTCGATATTACCTTATTGACATATTCTTCGACGCTCGAGCAATTTTCTAGATTAGTGGTTACAAGATCTTTTAACAGGCCTACCTTTCTGCTGAGCCCGGAGTCATCAAATACGGATTCCAATTTTGTCCAAACCTGTTTGGCGCTCGTCGAGTCTTGAACGTGGACATAGTTCAGAGGATCAATTAGTAGAATGATTTTAGACTTCGCTTTCGTGTTTTTTTTGCTGTCCGATACATATCCTGGTTCGTAGGGTTCAATCTCCTGCCATAGTTCTTCATGCTCCAGATAATTTTTAACAGCGAATTTCCAACTTTGATAGTTTTCACGGCCAACCAATTTTTCAATGGTGCCGATTGATATTTGAGAAGATGCCATCATGTAATTAAATCTGAAATGCTGAAAAAGAACGTCGGTGTGGCCGGGACGCGGTAATGGCCGTTGAGATTGCCAACAGCTAATACGAATCTGATTGAATCGCGGTACTGTAGTGTCGAATTACTTTTACTGTATCCTAATGGACATACTGGGCCCATAACCTAATGTTCAATAGAATAATTAGAGGTAATTCCAGAACTAAACTTTATTAAAATAAAAATGCACGACTGAGCGATAAAACTATATTCACGGAACAGGGCGGAAGTACAAGAGAAAAAACATGACAACACAAGTGAACGGAGTGACACTGACAGTTAATACAAAAACGTCACATTACATTATGTTATCTGTGGTTTGTAATTAGTAAACTAATCACAACAATACCTATGTGTTAAAGTATGAAACGAATCTATTTCAGTGCTCAACTGTCTTATTGTGTACTGTGTATTGTGTTCGATCTTGTGTACCACTACTTTTGCTATTAGAAAACACGACATTTCACTTGAAAGTATGTAACTGAGCTAAGTAGCTTTTGCTCGCGTGGATGTCCTTTGAAAAGTAGCCTAAGATATTTTCCTTACACACAACTTAGGTTAGTTGAGTGAATAATGTGTAATCGATTAAAAAAAAAACAAATATACTGCCTCATTTGTATTATTTTAATTGGGATGTTTTATAGTCAGTGTTAACTACAACAAATGTGTATTAAAATCTAATTTGTTTAGTAAGTTTTAACATATATTCAACGGCTACAAAGTCGAGTTTAGGTATCTACCGCAGCGCCATATCCCTATTAAGTAATGGCACAATCATGCCATATTGTAATTAAATTAACCAACCTTTGAAAACAAAACACTATGACAGGATTGAACTCCATACATTCACCAATACTGACAGTAAACGAGCCACATAGTTTCGTTCAGTACTTTAATAGTATGCCAATGAATTTTCTTTCAGCTGATTGCCTCGCCGGTCGGGATTTGCGGTCACTGCGCGCTCGACCGTTCGGTCAGAACTTATAATACTAGTCGTATTATACTTTCTGACCTTTTTCTATTAAAAACTGTGATGGTTGCAACAACTTGACTTTTTTATAATGTTATCTTGTATCACTGTTTTGTCAATGAGCTATATTGTAGCACGGTTTTTTACGTATATGTATTGTATTTTATATGAACTAAGAGCTATGAAATGCTTGTTTTTTGGTAGTGGTTTTGAATGAAAGATGCTATGAACTATTGGGAATTCTTTGCCAAAGCTATTTGTGGATGCCTTTTTTTCTTACACTTGCATCTTCTTACAGATTGGACGGTTTTCTCGTATTATTAATACAGGGAAATATTATTAATTGGGTATTTGGGACTTTTTTCGTTTGCACTCAGAATATTATATTTCTATCGGTGAATGAATTTATCAAAATCTGATCAGTAGTTTTGAATATTACACAGAACATACAAACTCTCATTAATATCTTCTTAAAAGTAGTTAATTAACACGGATTTAAATACATTATAAGTATTCAGCATACTATAGTAGCTAGAAACAATATTTATAATATTTATTATCTATTGAATTGCTTCGGCTACATACTCACACTTTGAAATTTATACAAAAAAAAAATATAAATACTCATGCTATTATCCTCTCTATATAATTATTATGTAATGTGTAACCTCACTGAATGTTGCTGCAACCATTACGCGACCTCGTAATTCCCTGTTTGTGTAACTAGGGAACTTGAAAGTTCGCTGGTTACACCGCACTACTCTTCTAACGTGATGGTAATTCTCATGCCACGCCCCCTTTGGCATGTGAATCATCATTACCAAAGATTGCGTACAGATATTCAGTTTTCCCCTTGGTTGTGACTGACTTATTTCAATTGTTTATATTAATTATTATTTTTTTTTATTTCTGACCTACTTTTTTAAATGTTTAATGTTGGTCCAAAATGCAAACTTTTTACAGGCTGTTTTGCGTTTTTTCAGTTCCTATTTTGTTTGTTAAGTTTAATCGTTGTTGGATTTATTTATTCGACTTTAGTTTTGTCCTTGACTCTGTATATAAAGAATTTATGGTCTAGGACTGTTGGGCGGAAATATAGAATCCTGAATTTATAAAATACATTTGGTCAGTCTTCAAATAATATTGAAAAGTCCATCGATTCTTTGAGCTATCCAAGAAGGGCGAAAATAACTTACAGCCTCTCCCGAACATTTGTGCAAAGCTATGTGCGAAGTTTTGCACAACTACTACAATAATGTACAAGCGATTCGCGTCTTTATAAACACTAAAAAGATACGTTTTCGTGAAAAAAATGCGATGCGTTGATGGCTCAAAGAAAAATGGCCAAGATGGGGAATTCATGAATATTTGTTGCAGCTTTTAAGTGATAAGGAGATGCGTGCACTTCGATGTCTACGATGATAGGTGCTAACCTTACAATGTATTCAAAGAGGTAAGTATAATACGGGAGGGGGTGAAGTAATACTCAGACAAAAATGAACTTTATGTGTTGTGTACACTGAGTACAAATTTAATATAACTACTGGCAGATTCTTCATTATTGTTGAAACTTGAGTTACAATGCGATGGTTACACTTTTCTACAGGGTGTTTTAAGAGAATACTTTTACATTTTTCTTCCAAAATAGTCTTTAACTACATTAAAATCATAATTGTTCTCATATCTAAACGAATTTATTATACTCACGATTGTCAATACATTGTCTAATGTCGTTGTATGTATGTAGGATCAACTGGTGCGTGCCGCGCCCGTTGAAGGAGGCATGGGCATGCATTTACTTCAGAAAATGGGCTGGACGCCCGGCCAAGGGTTGGGTAAGGAAGGTACTGGGACGCTTCAGCCATTACTGCTAGAAGTTAAACTTGATACAAGAGGTCTACAGGCCAAAGAAGAGGCCACTACCTGTAGGCGCAGTAGGGGTGTAAGTATTGTTTTGATTTTGTACCTTTACCGTTTTATAGTATCCATGTTGACTTATTAACGTGTAATTAACTTTTGCCGGAATACTGAAACGTTACTCAATTTTAAGTCGCGTTTAAGTATAGTTTTGTCTCTACAAATTCTTTGTGAAATGACAGATATTTAAGCACGACTTAAAATTGAGTAACGTATTAGTATTCCAGCATTTTATAGTTACTGGTCACCGGTGACCACTCTCCACTTACTCCATTATAGACCTTATTTACGATGCTTAGAGATTGCTTTTGTATGAACAATTGTTGTGGATTTTTCATACTCGGGGATTAAGAAGTTAATGTATGTTTGAAACAATATTTTAACACATTAAATTGTAGAGTTTTATGAGCAACAAAATTACTTTTTAACATGTTAAAATTAATTGAAGCCCATTTTTACATGAAGTGTGTTGTAGACATCTTAATACATTTGCTAATAATTTAAATAGACCACAAACACTATACTCGGAATTTTAATTCGATTCCAGATTTGACAATTTCAGTGTTGCAACGTTATGACAAGTACTAAATAGAAACGTTGCGAAATTATTCGATATGGAAATGGAATATTTCTGGATCGATTCTTCTCGTTTATAATTTTACTCTCGTAAACTAAGTATATCAGGAAATTTAATATTTCTATACCGATAATTTAGTTTTGACGATTATTTTACTATCTGAGACTTTTCTTTTATAATTATGTGTGAAATAAATAAAAAAATGTAATCATGAAGGAACATGACAAATAAAACAGATAGACGTATTATGGTAATATTTTTTTTTATAAATTGTCGCCGTCATCGCTATCGCTATCCTGTCATTTTCTGTAACATTTATTATAAAATACACACACTGATTGTTTATCGATTTTTGTGTTCATCACTACACTATTATATGTGGTATCATTATTTCACAAAATGACAGCAGCTAATGTCAAATCTGGAATCGAACTAGATATCTGACTATAGTCATACTTCAATTTAATAATTGATTTCTTTTTTGAATTCTTTATTTATTTATAGAACTTTTATCTGAAGAAGACATGTCAGTACTTAATTGGTTTCCTTACATCTTAAACCTTACAATATAATGAAACATTTGAATAAATGAATTCCCTTCCAGATGAAACCGCAACGCCCCAGTCGTCTCCGCGGCCCCGCGCCCCTAGTAGCGGGCGGGAAGCACCCAGTATCGTTGCTAGGAGAATATTGTTCCAAACAGAAACTTGGCCCCCCAGAGTACAATCTGTGTTTTGAGTGCGGTCCCGACCACAAGAAGAACTTCCTGTTCAAGGTCTGCGTACGTTGATTTTTGTTATTTATTCTTCTTATTTTGTTTTCGTAAGTACGCAGGTAAGTTGAGAATTCTTCAAAGTTCATTTGTTGTTTTTTAACTCCACCATTTTTCAATGCACGTACGTACGTAGTAGCCACCAGATCAACTTACTATCTATCAAATTTATTTATTGGATTTTCTACTTTATGTCAATACAATAAAGTTGAAGATGTAATTAAGAAATTTCACAGAAATGGATAGATTGACCTGGCTGGCCATACCAGGGTGCTTACTCTTGAAACTAATCTCAATTTCAATCCAATAAAATCTCAATAATTATCCAATGTTAAAACTATACAACCTCAATCGTAGCTGTTAAAGTAGCATTTAGAATACGGAATATAAAGCCAAACTCAATACCATTTATGTAGTTCATTAAATATCCACGCAATACAAATGCAGTGGGCGCTAGTGTTGCAACTCAAGAGTACGAAATTTCACAATACCAATGTCGATCGATCGGAATTGGATTCAAGAGTAAGCCCACTGGAGTTTTGGGGTAATTGGCGAAAATTGAGCGCAATGGAAATAATACACCTCCGCCAGCTTGGGACGCCAACATATTGTATACCCTTCTTGACTGCCAAGGGGTCTCTGGTTCGACGAGTCAGGCAAAGTATTACTGGGTTTTTCTCAGTAGCACGGAGTCTGGAATTGTGCCCGGTATATGGCAATAGGCTCATGTAATAGGGAGTCCTATTATATAGAACTCATAACATAATAGTGAAAAGTGGGTGTTACATTGTACAGTGGCATCGCTGCTTACCCATTCGGGGATAAGAAGGTGTGATGTTATGTTATGTTTCTTTATAAAACAACGCAGCACTATTAATGTTCATTTATTCGCAAAGTTTCAGTAAAAAATGTAAGTCACTGCATGAAAGCTTAATAAGAAGGCACTGATAGAAACTAAAGAATATTGTGTACAGTGGATAGCAAGTCAACCTCTTTTCTGTCAAATTTCTTTATTAGATTCTCAATTGGGTAGTTTTCAGGGTTTCTAAATTAAAAATCTAATTAGTCCGTCGGTTAGATAATGAAAAAATATTAGACACGTATTTTTTTTATTTTTGTTGCAATACTTAGATAAAATGGCGCACGCTACAAAATGTGGCACACTGTGACGTCACACGATATTGGAAATTAATATATCGTCGAAAGTATTTAAATTTGTGAGAAAAGGAAAAATACGTGAATAAAGTTTTAAATTAATCTACCAGACAGACATTAAATAGGAAACTACTCTATTCTATCGCTTAGGTGTAAAGTCGAAAATACATTGACAGAAATTGACACAGCAGTAGCCGGTTATGCAGATGTGTTGGCCACTGTACTTTACGTGTTCTATTAAAATGCATTACCATTTAATAGCTTTCTTTCCTAATGTAAATACATAGCTAACTAAACTCACAGAACAAAATATTTAAAGGTGACACAATTTTACAGGTGAAAGTGGCCGGGACGGAATATCAGCCCGCAGTAGCCAGCGCCAACAAGAAGCAGGCTAAAGCTGACGCCGCTCAGCTAGCTCTACAGAAACTAGGCATAGTGACGTAGTTACTATTTATATATTGTATACGACTGTTTATATTATATTAGTACATCTCTTGTCATACGTTTGTTAAAATATACGCGTTTAGGAATATTTTGTTTTATTTATTAATTAAAGTACCCAGTGTTGTGCCCAGGATATTAAAATATAATCATACCAAGTCATCGTAATCAGACCAGTAGGTTTTGCGTAATGCGTGAACATACAGACATTTTCAATGTAGAAAATCATTTCTACAGTTGTAACGGGGGTTTTAAAAATAAAGATAACCTAGTCTATGGTATTAATATCTGTGGTAATAACGTAACGCTAGAAGCCAATAGGCGCGCGCTCGCGACCGCCCCTTCCCGCCACCCGCTACCCCGCGCGCCAGCGCAGGGGTGCGAGTGGAGGAGGAGAGAGAGCCCCGACCACTGACGCGTACGGACGTGTTGAAGAATCCTCCGCGGCTCTAAGTCGCGTCGCCATTTTTTTAATCTAGAACTTTCCTGTACCGATCTGTATTAGAGTTTAATGTGGATAATGTAACTTTCGGTGATTTTAATGAGCAATAAATGTACTTTTGCCTATTAAACTGGCGCCCAAGCTAGTGGCCGAACCGTATTCGACCGTTACGAATGATCCAGTGCCTACGTGACCGCGGGTAAAGTACCTACTGACCCGAATCCACTCGCCACCTTACCGTTGTCATCAATAACGTGAAGATGCCGACAACGAGGAGAGGTGAAGCCCTCCGGCAACAGCACGGAGAAGACGAGGGAAACGTCACGCTCACTGAACAGGAGAGCGTCGCCGAGCGCGGCCACGCGGACGCCGCCGCGAGTGCCGGCTCGAGGTCGACACATCCAGCTCCCCAAATTACCCCAGACTTTTTATCCACGCTAATCGAGACGATTACGCGTGCGCAAGTGGAAGCTAATAGGAGTCTCGTTAGCACGCTGATGGGATCCGGCGGCGACTTCAGGGCATCCACTCCAGTCGGGCCCTCTCCATCATCGAACGCGACCGGCGGAGATACCGCCGTCGCGGCTCCGCCGTGCAGTGACGCTAACTTCACAAAGTGCACGGCGAGATTCAACGGGACCTCCCCGGACGCTGAGGTCCTGGAAGCATTCCTGGACGCCGTCGAGGTCTACAAGGAGTGTGCAGCGGTGAGCGACGAGCACGCCCTGCGTGGGTTACCCATGCTACTGGAGGGCGAAGCCGCCGTGTGGTGGCGCGGCGTAAAAGCGTCGGTACCTACGTGGACGGACGCGATCGCGCGCCTCCGTGCGATGTACGGCGTGGCGCAGCCCGCGCACCTCATCCTGCGCGAGATCTTCGCCAGGGAACAACAAGAAGAACGTGCAGAGACATTTTTGTGTAAAGTGCGCGCGTTAATCGCAAAGTTACCGTATTCTTTAGATGAAACTTTGCAAGTTGACATTTGTTACGGATTATTGCATCGACGCGTAGTGAAACGAGTCCCGCGTGATAGTGTTCGTAGGTTAGACGACCTATTTATAAGGCTAGGATCGCGGAGGATACTACAAAGCGTCTAAGGTGAATAATACCAATAAAATACGCGAAAGTAATTCGACCACTATCGCTACTACCGACCGTGTTCTCACGCAATCGAATTGCGCTGCCACGAGTGCGACCGCGTCGCGTTGCAACAACAGAAATAGACCGCGTTGTAGTTATTGCAAGCTTTTTGGGCATGTTAGTGACGAGTGTCGTAATCGCGAGAAACCTATTTCCAGTGGAAGTAATAATACAGCACCCAAGGAAGTACGTTGTTACGGGTGTGGCAAGCAGGGCGTCGTGAGGTCGAAATGCGATGTTTGCTTAAAGACAACGACGAAACCCGACGGCAAAACATCTTTCAACAATGTTGATATAGATTTTTGTATAAATAACGTCGATGTTAGGAATAGTAGTCATATTAATAGTAGGGTCGATACTGATTCATGCGTAATTATTACTAACGCAAGTATGTGCAACGACCATCCGATGGTGAATATAAGTGTTATGGGCCGTAGTGGTGTGGCGATAGTAGATACCGGCGCCACGCACAGCATTGCGAGTCCCCTATTATACCGAATTTTAGTAAACTCGGGAGTTACATTTACCGAAACAAAACGTTACGTGCGCCTGGCCGACGGCACACAAGGATGGCGGGACCTGCTGTCAGCCGAGACAGAGGTCATCATTGCAGAACGGCGGGTGACATGCCAGTTCCTGGTGTTGCCCGGCAGTGATATCCGAACACTTTTAGGCGTAGATTTTTTAGCCCGGGCCGGTGTAGTAATAGACGTCGCCCAACGTACATGGTCGTTCTCAGACAGTCTGGAACGCTATGAGCTGGTATACTCCTATACTTTGAATCCTGCCGATGGTGCCGACACCGGTCTACTACATACTGGGTCCTCCGATGACATAGCGCTGCGACCGGACGAAGGTTGTAAGTTAAACCCCGAGCAGCGACAGACCCTTAACAGGTTCATCGGAGACCGCGCGTCGCAGTTTGCGCGCGACGGCCCGGCAACTGAGTTCGCGTTGCATCGTATAAAGGTAAGTCCACAACAGGAACCGATCGCTAGTCCACCGTACAGGATGTCGCAAAATAAGAAGGAGGCTTTGCAGAAGGAGCTTGATAAGCTGCTGCGAGACGACATCATTGAAGAATGCGAGTCACCTTGGGCCTCCAATGTCGTACTCGTAGGTAAGAAGGACGGCAGTTGGAGACTTTGTGTGGATTACCGGAAACTCAACGAGGTAACCGAGCCCGACCGGTACCCCCTGCCGCGTATCGAAGACATACTGCATGCCGCCAAAACCAGTGAGTATATGACTACTCTTGATCTTCGCTCAGGGTACTATCAGGTGAGCGTTTCCCCAGAAGACCAAGATAAGACGGCTTTTACAACGCCACTCGGTACCTTTAGATTTAAGCGAATGCCGATGGGGTTGCGGAATTCCGGAGCTACCTTTCAGAGGATGATGGATCGGTTCCGCTCCAATCTGAAGGGAGTAGAGCTCCTGGCGTACCTGGATGATCTTATTTTGCTGTCACCGGGCCCTTTCGAGAGGCACCTGGCCGATCTGGAGGCGGTCTTCGATCGACTTGCCATGTTTAAGTTACGAGTTAACAGGGACAAGAGCGTCTTTGCAAGGGAAAGTGTAAAATTCCTAGGACACGTCATCGTCCCAGGTGGAATCCAGGTGGATCCTGACAAGACTGCAGCCGTTGACAACATGGCCGCCCCTCGGAATGTTAAGCAATTGAAGTGCTTCCTACAAACGTCGAGTTGGTACCGACGTTTTGTTAATAATTACGCAGAAATCGCGAGACCCCTAACTAACCTCCTGAAGAAGTCAAGTGCTTGGCAATGGGGCACTGAACAGCAGGAGGCGTTTGAGCGCATCAAGTCCCTTCTCGTTTCTGCTCCTATTCTCCGCCAGGCGGACGAATCAAAACCTTTTACCCTTTGCACTGATAGCAGCGCCTATTGTCTCGGAGCTGTTCTCATGCAGGGGGAGGGTCATGACGAGCGGCCGATCGAATACGCGAGTCGGCTCCTCACTAGCGCCGAGAGGAACTATTCCACGACCGAGCGAGAGGCACTCGCTGTCGTGTGGGCACTTGGCAAGTTCCGCGGGTATGTGGAGACCGCGAAGGTCATCGTTAGGACGGACCACCAGCCCTTACGGTGGCTGATGAGTCAAAGGTCGCCTAGCGGTAGACTGGCCAGATGGGCTTTAACTCTGCAAGAATTTGATCTCAGCATTGAGTACACACCCGGCCGCTCAAACGTGGTCGCAGATACCTTGTCGCGACCAGTTTGTGAAGGCAACCAGGATGAGTGTGACCTGCGGATGACCGTCGTGGATATGCCGAAGAGAAGCAGTGGTGATATCCGCAGCAATCAGCTGATGGACCCAGAGGTTTGCAAAATTATTGAGGATATGGAATCCGACGAACCCTCCAGGGGGAGACCGTGGTCTGATCGCGGATACACCATATCTGACGGTATCCTGTACAGGTACAGCTTGGAGTCTGACGACGGAGAAGACTGTTGCCTAGTTGTCCCTGAACATGAACGCAAGCAGGTTATGGCTGATCTACACGATGCGCCGACAGCTGGCCACTTTGGTGTGGACAGAACTTTAAGCCGCGTTCGTGCTAGGTATTATTGGCCCGGCATGCGAACGTTCATCGCCAACTATATAAAAGAATGCGTGCCTTGTCAAAGATATAAGGCTAATAATCGCAAACCTGCAGGTTTACTGCAAACCCCTGCCGTATCAAGACGTTTCGAGGTGGTCTCAGTAGACCTGTTTGGGCCACTCGTAGAGACTCCTAGGAAAAACAGGTGGGTGTTGATTGTGGAAGACGTCAGTTCGCGCTGGGTAGAATTATTCCCATTGGAGAGCGCCACCAGCGTCGAATGTGCTCGGACGCTTGTCGGGGAGGTCTTCCTCAGGTATGGAGTGCCGCGCCGCCTTATCAGCGATAATGGCGTGCAGTTCGTGAGCGACGTCATGCAACAGGTATGTCACATCCTAGGTATCAGCCAGTCGCTCACACCCTACTATCACCCGGAGGCCAACCCGATAGAGCGGAAGAATCGCGATTTGAAACCGCAACTAGCCATACTTGTGGGCCAAGACCATGCAACCTGGGACTTACATCTCGCCTCAGTAAGGTTTGCTATGAATTCAGCTATCACTAGTAGCACGGGACATTCCCCGGCGTACCTCACTTTCGGGAGAGAGTTGAGGGGCCCTACTGATCCCAAGGTAGACATGAGAGCCGTCATAGAACATGACAACTTCGTGCCCAGTATTACGCCCTATCTACGGAAGTTGGCCGCGACCCTAGACGAGGCCAGGGATATACATGAGAAAGCGCAAGCCAGTCAGAAGCAGAACGCTGACCAGAAGAGACGGCCATCGTCAAATTACGAGGTAGGTGACCTTGTTCTGTTAAAAACGCAAGGACCTAACGACGCAGCCCGCGGACAGTCCGCGAAGTTTATACCTCGTCGCGATGGCCCGTATAAGATAGGGAAAGTTTTTAGCCCAACCACTTACGGTTTGGAGAGCGTACAAACCGGGTCGGACTTAGGGAAATATCACGTTTCGCACCTCACGCCCTTCGCGGGTCAAATAGAACATCCGGTTCGCGAGAAACGCAAGCGCGGCAGACCGCGTAGATATTTAGACTAGCCCAACTGCGGGGACACTTAGTTAGGCTAGAGGGGGAGGATGTAACGGGGGTTTTAAAAATAAAGATAACCTAGTCTATGGTATTAATATCTGTGGTAATAACGTAACGCTAGAAGCCAATAGGCGCGCGCTCGCGACCGCCCCTTCCCGCCACCCGCTACCCCGCGCGCCAGCGCAGGGGTGCGAGTGGAGGAGGAGAGAGAGCCCCGACCACTGACGCGTACGGACGTGTTGAAGAATCCTCCGCGGCTCTAAGTCGCGTCGCCATTTTTTTAATCTAGAACTTTCCTGTACCGATCTGTATTAGAGTTTAATGTGGATAATGTAACTTTCGGTGATTTTAATGAGCAATAAATGTACTTTTGCCTATTAAACAGTTTTATTATACGTATAGAATAGATATTGATTTTTGAACCTACTTGTAGTGTTGTACTTAGGTGAAGTTGATCGTATTTCAAATGACTTGGCAAAAACACTATATTCTATTTTTAATAATGATTCATTCTTTACGTCACAAGTATCATAAAGGAAATACTTATAACTTGTGTTGTTCTTAGTAATATTTCTAAACAAATCCAACGAAAAGTTCACGAAATTTGCATCGAATTAAGATCTCAATGTAAATATAACATTACATATTGAACAATATGCTCCAATTGATTTACTTTTTACACTAAATTACCACTAATAACACCAAATAAACAGTCACAATAACTTGTACAACTCGTCTGTAACATAAGCAATTACTGTGTCATAAGCCTTTTTCGTTTAATTACGATCTCGCGGTGGTAAGCGATAATGCGATCTACGATGAAGCACATCGTCCCATAAGCAAGCTATTCACTCGGGCCTTAAAGACACCCAGGTTATACTATCGGAAAGGGCAAAGTCTATAATGATACATTTTTTAAAACAAAATCCTTTGCTAAACTCGCTATCCACCGCCTCTGTTTTCCCTGTGACCGCGAATATCACCTATAATGATGTTCAACCAATGTCGATTGTACCTCGGTATATTTCTTTTGCTAAATAATACGATGACGCGTGACGTGCAATTAGCAATACCCTGCGAACACGACAGCGCAGCGTATAGATAACAAATAACAATATCAAGTACCGTAAGTACTGGTAAGTACTCACACAGTTGTCACAAGCTGATAACACGTATAAAAATACAATTTATACAATCAATAGGTAGATACTTGCACTCTCTCTCACACACTTGATATCTAACAATTGAATTCAAGCCCGAGTATGAGTCGCGGAGAACCTAACGGGTTACCGGGGCTCCGGCTCGACGTGCAGAAGTAACGGGGTGGTTTTTATTTTTATTTATTTATTTATTTATTTATTTATATCAGGCAACGAAGTAGTCAGTAAGAGTCTGACACTCCCTCCCGCCTCACCCAGGCGGGAGGAGTCATTCGATGATTTTCCCCACTTAAAAAAAAAGCCTGAGTATGAACAATTATCCCCACACTTACACATGTAAGCCAGTCAGTTGTGATCTTTTAATACTTTAATTGCGATAAAATAATATTATTATTTAATAACATTTCTTGTTTGTATGCTAATGACCTAGATTAGTATAAATAGTCACAACAGCGTTTTTGTTGTAAAGTAGCGCAATGAACTTCATAAGTGTTGTTCAAATTAAATGTAGTATTTTCACTGTATTATTATTATATTTGTTGTTTATCCAACGCATTTTATCAATTGTTATTTGAATGTCTTGTAAATACTAAATATCATGTCTTTTATTCCTCGAATAAAGACACAATATAGCATCGACTTCCCACCAGTTATAGCTAACTATTATAAGAAAAAAAAACAAATAATAACTAATAAATCAGATTTATTTTAGAACTATTGACAACATCACTACAACTATACAGGACATTACTAAGACATTACAATTTTAATTTAACATCAAGGGGTATTGTGCATAAGATCCAAAGAGTCCGGTACACTTTAACAAGTTACAATAACATTACAACTAATTTTAAACATTTTGCGTGCTGATCTAGTATGTGGAGTAAATAGAATTTAATTCTCTTCCTTCAGTACCTACAATTACTTCTAATAATGTGTTAGATACTAGTCCTGCCTCCTTACGATTCCTACTAAAATCACAGATCTGTTCCCTTCATCAATCACATCAATATCCATTTTCCTTTTACTGCTTTTCTCCTGATTGTTGTTTGATCCTGTAGTCTGACAGAGCTGCCTTTATTGCGTCTTCAGCAAGCACTATAACAAAGCAAAATACATTTAAAATTAAAACTACACACACACACACATACTAGGTATGTGACAATAAATCAATATAACAAAAAAAAATATGTGTAAAAGAGCTGCCTTGTAGCCTATTTGCAGAAAAAAAATCACTTCACTAAATTTGTTTCGAAAGTAGATTATAAGAATAACAAGTATGTCATAATCGAAAATTAGCACATGAACTCTCAAAACAACAGACACTATTTGAATTGATGATCCAACTTCCTAATTTTAGAATAGTTGCACCATTTGACCCATTAGTTATCTGTGGACCAAGTAAATTAGTCATCATTTGTAAAAATAATGATTTAAACTTTATGGGTTATAAAAATGTAAATGTGTTTACTGCAGCTTATCAGTAACTGGTTGTTAGGTCAAGATAACAATGACAAAATTTCGTAACTTATCAGGCATTACATCGGTGAAATATCAATACGTGCAAGATTGGGAATGATATGAATGAACACAAGCTCATAAAATGTCAACAACTGCTGTTACTGATGATAGATATGAAACATTTTGGATAACTGCCAAAATTGAGGAAAATAAATAAATCTGTTGGGAATATTGTAAAAAATGGTATGAAATATATACCTGTGTGAGAAACAAAAAGTATAATGTGTGATCCATTTAGGAACATCAATAGAAAGGATCCAGAGTGGAATTTTCGTAACTCGGAAAATGTTTTGCACTAGACCTGATGAAGTATTGCTCAATTTTTGTAACACATTTGCAATTCTTCATCATTCATATAAACTGTCATTTAATTAAATGATTTCACATCACCAGTATTTAGGACATATATTCACATTTGATAAAAATGCAATTAAGTATAGATGATAAACTAATTGTATACTTACTAGAGCAATGTAGCTTGACTGGTGGCAAGGACAGCTCCTTAGCAATATCTGTGTTCTTCAGCTTCAGAGCTTCGTCAACTGTCTTCCCCTTCACCCACTCTGTAGCCAATGAGCTGGAGGCAATAGCAGATCCACAACCAAAGGTCTTGAACTTAGCATCTATGATCTTGCCATTTTCATCAACCCTGATCTGTAACTTCATGACATCACCACATGCTGGGGCTCCAACCAATCCCGTGCCAACATTTTTGTCTTTTTTGTCCAAAGAACCAACATTACGAGGATTCTCATAATGATCAATCACCTGAAACAAAATTATGTAAACATTTTAGTGACAAATTCTTAATAACCATGATATGATAAATGTGTGCAAAATAATTTCCTTTACATTCTCTAAAATTTAAATTGAACTATCATTCAAGTAATTATTTATGCAGCTGATCAAATAACTGGCAATTTTCGATTTCAAATTAAGTGAAGCAAATCTAATTAGAAAGTAATGAAATAATTATATGTACTAGTATTTGCAGTCGCAGTATCTATAGTCCAATAGTATATCAGACCAATACAAATGTGCCTAATTAGATTCGAATTGGAATATTTAACTGGCCTATTTTAATTGCGGCCATATTTAGATTAAAAATTCAAAATGGAAATGTAAATATTACTTCTTATTATATCACCGGTCAAGGCTATTTACGAAATTACGTAGTTCAGTAGTGAAATCGATAATCCTTGACATTGCATGCTGATGGAAGTACTCACATTGGCATGGTATGATGCAGTTTGGATAATGTTCGGGCTGCTAAAACTCTTCAAGCAAATGCATCTGCGTATACTTGTAACGAGAAACGCCATTCTTATTCGATTAAATCGCACGAAATAATTTTAATTTCTAGTTCGCACAATCCAACTGCACTTTTTATGATAGAGAAAATTGAAATGAAGGTTCGAAGGAATCCGCAGATCTGCCAAGTGCGCCGCGGAGCCGAATGTCAAATGTCTTTTTTTTTTTTTTTTTTTCTTTTTCTTTGGCAACTGAGTCTCCAATACGATGTTGTCGACTATACTGCCAGTGTCGAGTGGTGACGGCAGTTAATGCACCGTCGAACTTTAACTTTCTGGTAGTTGTTAGTAACTGGAAGAGACAAAAACAATTGGGTTAGTAAACATATACCGTCAATAGACCTAAAATTATAATATTATTACCTAACACCAGATAAATAATTAAATAGAAACAATCATAACACACAATATTTACATGAATACACACCGTTATATTTTAATACAATTTTCTTTAATAAATTTGGACAAGCACTTAATTAATTTGGGAGAAAAATTTGTTAGGAGGGAGTGGAAGTTGATTGGAAGAGGGATTTGGATTTTGGGAAGGTTTCCATATAAATCGAAGGATTGGGAATTTAGAGGGCAAGAGAAAAATATGTGGTCTAGGGTTCCCTCATCCAGACCGCATTCGCACAGCGAGCTGTCACGTACACGGATCTTGGCAAGGAATACCGGACTAGTACAGTGGCCGAGTCTGAGTCTGCACAAGGACGAAATAGTTTGTCTGGGAAGCTTCTTATACTTGGAAAACCAAGGTTTCCGCCGGATGTCGGGCTGGATACTTGCAAAGTAAGCTCCTTTACGCTTGGAGGAGTCCACCCACACTGCAGCCCACGAGTCGAAAAGCTTGAGTTTTGTATCCGCGCGTATGTCATACCCATACACAATGTAGTGGTGACGTTCAACATTATTCACGGCCGCAAACTTTGCCAATCTGTCAGCACACTCGTTACCGCATATACCAGAGTGGCCAGGGATCCAGGCGATCTCGATATTTAGTCCGTCGTTTTGGCAGGAGAAAAGTAAAGATTTTATCTGAATTATCAGACTACTATGAGTCCGGGAATAAAGCTGGTCTTGACCGAGCGCCTGTAAACTACTTAGAGAGTCTGAGAAAATAACTGAGTTTCTGAGGTTGTGCGGTTCAATAAATTTAATGGACTCCAGAATGCCGACACATTCCCCAGTGAAGACAGAGGCTTCAGGGGGACACTTGGAGAGCAGAGCAATTCTTGAGTTCTGGTAATATGTTGCCACTCCTGTGCATCCGTTTCGGGTCAATTTGGATGCGTCCGTGTAAAACACATTCCAGCCGTTCCAGTAATTGCTCAGCGCGCGTTCAAAATCACCTTTAGCGTCCACTGATGTCTTTGAAATGCCCAACCCCAGAACTAGCTTTGGCCTAAAGTGAATGACCTCGTATGCGGAAGAAAAAAACCGGGAGAATAGGGAATTGACTGATAGGTGCAGAGAGGTTTTTAAGCTCCCTATACCTAGCAATCACAGGTGGGACAGGTTTATTATTCCAATATGGAGAGGAGTCATAAGAACTGTGGATTTGCTCAAGGATAGGAAGGAGGGGATGAGAAGAGCGGGTAAGGACTTTAGAAACGAAACGGTCTGCCAGGTATTGTCTTCGAAGGTCAAAGGAGGGTTCTGCACATTCAACCTGGAGAGCGTTTATGGGGGATGACTTCATAGCTCCAATAATTATTCTTAGGCATTTGGCCTGAATGGAGTCTAGCTTTTTAAGTGCTTCCTTATTGCAAGGTGCCATAAGGAAGCAGCAATAGTCTATCACACTTCTGACCAACGCATTATATATGAGCTTTAATGTGTAGGGGTGAGCACCCCACCATACCCCAGCTAATGCTCTGAGTACACATACTGACCGTTCGCACCTTCTAACTACTGTTTCCACATGATCAACCCCCGACATCCTAGAATCGAGGATAACGCCCAGGAACCTAGCCTTCCTCCCAACTGGAATAGGTTGGCCGTCTATCTCTATAAGAGTGTCCGGAAGGCGCCGTCTGCGTGAAAAGATGACAGCTGAGCTTTTTGGGGCGCTTAAAGATAACCCATGATTAAGAAGCCATTGGTATAATGAGGTCAAAGAGACATTCATGGAGGCGGTAGCGTCTGTTATAGAGCAGCTAGTGACCATTAATGCGATATCGTCAGCATACTGGAGGACTTTGCAATCATAATTTAGACAAGAAGGGAGGTCGTGGGTATAGATATTATAGGATGGGACTAAGGACTGACCCCTGAGGTAAACCCCTCCAGGCGGTTCTCTGTGTAGGGTCATCCTCAGGAGTTCTCAGTTGGAGGGTACGGTTGGAAAGGATGCAGCCTATAATTTGGCAAATCCTACTCGGGATTCTCAGCTCCTGCAATTTCTGCCTGAGAAGGGGTAGGAGGACAGAGTCATAGGCCGACGAGACGTCCAGAAAGACCGCCACCAACGACTCATTCCTGCTAAGGGCCAGTCGGATGGCTGACGTGAGGGTACCCACACTATCAGCCGTACCCAGACCTTTCCTGAAGCCGAACTGAGCCGCCGGGAACAGCCCCCGGCTTTCCATCGACCATTCCAACCGGGTCTTTATTAGGTGTTCAAGGATTTTGATAAGTATGGACGATAGGGCAATAGGTCTGTAAGACGAATGGTCACCAGGATCCTTGCCAGCTTTTAACAGCGGCATGATAACCTGAACCTTCCAGAGAGGAGGAATATAGCCGAAAGTAAAACAGAAATTGACTAAGTCAAGGTAGTACTGCTTGGTTTTGGCTCCTGCTTTAACCAAGAAGGAGTAAGGAAACCCATCAATGCCTGGTGCGGAATCCTTTACATGATTAAGGACCATTTGGAGCTCATCGATGGTGAAATTTTTATCGAGTGGGTCTCGTGAATCCTCATGTTGACCCGGACAACATTCATCCTCGCCAGGGACATACAGTGGAGCAATATTGGTGAAGAAATTGTGGCTCAGACCTTCAGGCAAAATGGAAATTGAAGGAGGCTTCGAAGAATTTCTGAAGCTCTTCACTCTCCGCCACACTGCTGTCACCGGCGTGGACGGGCTTAGGGAACCACAGAATCTCTGCCACCCCTGTCTCTTCTTCTTTTTAAACAGTTTTCTTGACCTAGCCAATATCTGCTTGAAATTAAGGAGATTCTCCAGGCTCATGTCGTGGTTATATGCCTTTTCAGCCTCATTCCTGGCTCTTATCATGGCAGTACATTCACTATCCCACCAAGGAGGGGAAGGGATTTTGCCTTTTGGTGTGCTTTTCACTGGGAAGCAATCTTCAGCTGTGGTAGCTATCAACTCAGAAAACTTTGAAAAACACTCCAAAGCATTCTGGTTATCAATGGGTGGGAGAGAAGAAATGCGGAAGTCTAATAATTTTGAATACAGGTCCCAATCTGCTTTTTCTAATCGATATTTTAATAGAGGGGGGGAGGGATTTATCAGGAGTGGATTTGGAAGGATTTTTGATTATGATGGGATAGTGATCGCTACCATAAGTCATATTCAAACAGCTCCAGTTCAGCATGCTTGCCATATTAGATGAGCAGAAGGTTAAGTCCACACAACTGCTTCTTTGTCCAAATGCAGATCTACGGGTCGGGCTGCCGTCATTAATATTACATAGGTTGAGCTCATCCATCATTTCAACGAACTTGCTGCCCATGTTGTCGCATAAATCCGAACCCCATCTATAATGATGACAGTTGAAGTCACCCATTACGAATAATGGACCACTTACTGACATTAATAAATTTTTAATTAAAGCCAAATGAGTAACAAGAGGGTGCGCAATATAAAACATAAAAAAATTTATATCCTCAGCCTTAACAGCGACAACATTTATGTCATCGCCGACGAAGGGTAAAGGAATCTGGGTGAAGGGTACTTTGTTGTTAACTAACAAAGCACAACCTCCATAACCATCAGATCTGTCCTGTCTGACAATGCTGAAGCACGGGATCCCGAAATTGATATTCGGTCGGAGCCATGTCTCAGCAAGTCCACAAATCGATGGTTTGAATTTATTAACTAAATGTATCAGGTCACTCTTCCTGGGAAGAGTACTCCTCACGTTCCACTGAAGAATTGTAAGTGGGTGGAATTTTATATATGTAGTCTAGGATAGTAGCTAATCTATGGGCGACGTGGTCAGGTACATTTTGATTAGGGTTAGATAACACTGCCATGAGCATGCTGGAAATTACATCTAAAATGTTAGAGCTACGAGTGTTGGTTCCGGATTCCACAGGGAAAGCGCAACCATTCTGGGATGGAGAAAAAGAGTAATCATGGATAAGGGCCTGATGGGCCTTCTTATCATAGCCGGGAGAAAGAGGAGCATGGGATTTGGGTTTGACAAAAACTGTTTTTTTGTAAGACTGTCTTTGTGGGGATGATTTTTTGTTTGGTGTTGATTGAACGTAGTTGACAGACTTGGATTTAGAAACCTCGGCATAAGATTTTTTGACCGCAGGAAACACATGGCTTGCTTCCGCATAGGAAATCGCTTTTTCAGCCATTAAGGCCTTAATACTTTTCTGGCGTCCTAACTCAGGACAGGAGCTGTTATTGGCAAAATGATTGCCATTGCAATTTATGCAATGTGCAACTTCTTCCGTCACTAGGCAGCCATCGCCAGGATGATCCTGACCACATCTGAAGCAACGCGGTTTGGAGCGGCACAACGTGCGGGTGTGCCAAAGCGACAACAGTTGTAACACTGTATTGTAGGGTATGTATACAATTCTACAGGGAGAGCAGAATAAAAACAAAAAACTTTCTTTGGTAAAATTTGCCCATCGAAAGTGAGAACCACAGTTTGGGTAGGCTTCCATTCCGTACCATTGTCTGATGAAACTCTACGGTTCATCCGTCTTGCTTTAATTGCAATCCCACACCCAGCGGGAACCTTAATGTTCCTAATAATTTCCTCCTCTGACCATTCAATGGGAACATCCCTCACAATGCCCATTCTAGTTATGTTGAACTGAGGGATTGAGGTAATATAATTTTGTGCTACCACGCAGTTAATAAGGAAGCTATTCGCATCCTGGTGAGACACAAACTCAACCGACACTCTGTTTCTACCGAGTCGCTTCACTCCTCCAATTTTAATATTGTTGATGTTATTCTTTGTCAAGAACATCCCGAATTTGATTGGGTGGAGAGTAGTGCCACTCGTCTGGGAGTCTTTAAGAGAAACATGGACAATATAGGGAGGGTTGTCTCTAGCCGTATAGCACTGCCTACCATTAATACTCTTCGCTAGCTTCGGAGGATTGATACGGGATAGAATGGGAGAACCAGCAGGTCGTTTCCTGTTAGCATTGTTTTCGGAATCCATTGATTCAAGATCCTGGTTGTCATGGGGGAGCGTGACGCATAAAATGGGATTGTACTCTGGAGATTTGTCGGGAGGGTCAGGAGGCTTCTCTTCATCCATTGTTAGGTATAGGAGTAAAAAAGGTGGGAAGGGGAAACAAAACTTAAGACTACTACACCTTAATAAAACTTACACACACAATTACACAGCACAAAATTAAAAGATTTCAATTTAGTTCACTATGAAAAAGATCACTAAAATTGACAACAATCGTAGTACCAATAAAAGCACGTGCGTAACCTTCACCACTACCAACGAAAGTCCCATGTCAAATGTCATTGAGGAAATTAATGACAAATTAATTTGACAGTGTTATAAATGACATTTATTTGCGTTTTCTGTGGCAGGACCAATTGAATACCTAAATTAGAAACAAAAATATTTTTAAAAAGACGATCCGTTTTTATTTTCATTCCCAAATATTCAAAGCATTTTGACATTGAAACTCATGAAGCCCATGAAACTTGATTAATAAAGTTCAAAAATAATTATATTAAAAAAAAACAACATTAAAAACCAATCAGTGACTACCTATTGAAAGAAACGAGGATTCGGAACGCATCATGATTGACATTAGTAAATGTCGTTCAGAACCAGTAGCTTCGAATACAGTAGTTTGGTAAATATAACTGTAGCTTATCGAGAAATTGTGATAAATTAGTTATTATTCAGTACCGAAATATTTTACAGTTAGTTTTTTAATTTATTATTGGTTTCCGAAATGCATTACTTTAGTCATACTTACATAATGCTTGATAATGCTATACAAGTATTGTACAGAATTGGTTTCTAAACGTATACGTATTTAAATAGCAACTTTTTTGTAGTGATCATGACAATCGGTTTTAGAATTTCCAAGCTTGTTGCGCCCATAGTCGGGAACGTAATTTGTTTATCTCGAGCCCAATTTAGTGCTGTGTAAGTAGTTAATTTATTCAAAGTTTATGAAATACTGTAAGTGTTATGCAATCATTGTTTTTTTAAGACAGACCGGCTGATGCAATTTGTGTACAACACTAATCTGTCAAATGATTTTTTAATTTTAGGATTTTGAAATTTTGAACGTAGAATTTGTCAAAGTACTACATAATATCTTGTTGTGGTGAGCCGGTTTTATTACTAAATTAATATTTGTATATTTCAGAAAAATGAGTAATAATCCTGATTACAAAGCTGCGACATCCATCCATGAATTCACAGTGAAGAATATAAAGGGCGAAGATGTAAAACTTGATGTTTATAAAGGTCATGTCTGCATTATTGTGAATGTGGCCTCACAGTGCGGGCTCACTGCGAATAATTACAAGCAATTGAACGAATTATACGAGAAATATGCCGAGGACAAAGGTAAGTTCAACAACTGATAAGAATAAAAACATCAACATTAAATAAATTGCAATCAGTAACTGAATACTTTACCTAAATAGTACTTGCAACTGTTTACTTACTTTTACTGATAATAAGGTATGAGGACCTGAAAAAAAACATTGGTAATAAAAAATATTATGAACAACATTTCTGTATTTATAATCTGTAAACAACATCTGTAAAACCAAAGACTAATATTCTTTTTTATTAGGTCTGCGCATCCTAGCGTTCCCCTGCAATCAGTTTGCCGGCCAGGAGCCTGGTAACCCTGAGGATATTGTCTGCTTTGCATCAGAAAGGAAAGTGAAGTTTGACCTATTTGAGAAAATTGATGTCAACGGAGATGGTGCCAGTCCATTGTGGAAGTTCTTGAAGGTAAAAGTTGTATGTATTACTATTTTATTATTCTGCATTGTGTGGTAAAAACAGCATGATCACAGCTATAATTGAAGTAAGTGTTTAAAAGCTAAGATCATAATTATTTATAGTTAGTCTGGTATGCTAAGTTGTGTTACTACATTTCAACTAACATACATTATCTCCATATAAAAATGAATAGCAATTTCCCTTCTCTCAATTTTTTTTTTATTGTGTAGTATAATTTTGACTGCACTGGTGACTAGGCAATTGGCTGTCGTGCAATATGAAGTGGGTTATAATCCTACACTAAGCAACTCTTTGTGCGATCCACAAATTATTGTTGTTTCTGGTCTGGGTATCATGTGTATGTGAAATTGTATGTCTGTAAATGCACCCACAACACAGGAGAACATCGTAGTGGGTGGGGTAATGATATTTTGAAAAAAAAAAAACTATTTCGTCGGAGGTTCTCCAAAAAACAGGTGAGATAGTAGTCAAACATCTGCCCATCAAATATAAAAAAAACAGAGTTGGGAAGTCCAAGAAAATAATTAGACAAATGATTAGGTACCTAGTCAAAGCCAGGATGGGTAGCTAGTTTAACAAAAGCATGACTTCACAATTTTTTATGTATAAAAAAATCTAATTGTGTGAATATCCTTGACTATGGTTTAAAAACATGACACATGCACTGACTCCCAAGCATTAAGCCTCTAATGTGACCTTTGCATCAATAATAACAGTAGTGTTCTCTGTTCAAAGTCCAATGTTCTTAAAAAAGTAGTTGCTTATTTGAATTTCCTTGGATGTGTTCACAATGGTAAATGCTAATGTTATTTTGACTTTTTAAAATTCATATTAGACTGAATTTATTTGTACTGTTTACATTTTCGGACTTCATACATTTATTTATTTTTTCTTTTTATATGCAGTTTATGTTAACATTATTCAAGTGTGAAGTGGCACCAACCATCCTTGTATTCTGCCTGTTGTCTTTGTAAACATACTTATATTATATACTATAGCACTCACATCTACTCTATTATATCCCCTCTTTTACTTTTATTATAATAAAAGAGGTATAGTGTCCGTCTATTCGTTTATAAAGTCATAAACAACGGATTTACTTATAAGGTATTCATCTAATGAAAAAAATTGTGAATGTAGATGAAGCAGAAAATGTATGCTAAAATTAATTGTAGCATTCTGTTTTCCATAGTCACGGCTGGTTTCCAATAATTTATTGATGATGACAGCAGCTTGGGTCACAGAGAAAAAGTTCTAAGTTGGCAGTGAAAAACCAGTAATCAATGTCTAGTTCTGTGTTACAATAACTACCTAATCTAAATCTAATCATTTCTGATGTCATTTATTTACGTGAAAAACAAGATAGATGATAAAATTATAAACTGATTTAATTCAAATTTTGTACAGATAATACAATACGTGTATTATTTTCAAAATAAGAAAAATCTTAATCTTAAATGATTCAGGCAAAAATTGCCGAGTAATGATGAGAACTACTGTTTATCAATATAATCGCCTACACGTGTTTTAATTGTGGTAGAACACAGGTGTATTGATGGCCAACCTCCAACCTTGGATAGTCTATTAGAACGGTAGTGAAAATCAATACTGCTACTGTATTATTCATAATTCTGGAAACAGTAATTTTGAGATATTACGGTTTTGTTTTGTTGACATTATTGATTTATTCTGAATCTCCATTTATTCCTACATCCAGATTTCAATTACGCTCGCCTAAAAAACTAATATTCTATTTCTGTTCTAATCTTGCAATTTTCGACAAAGTTTTAGTAACAGAGGCCTTAGTACGAGTTTGATTTACGTTTAAAGTAATCGTAACGAGTATGGGTTCGGCACTCTGATTGGCCGAATCCAATGAAGCAACCAATCAGAGCGCCGAACGCGTACTCGTTACGTTTACTTTAAGCGTAAAACAAACTTGTACTAAGGCCTCAGATTTCTTTTAGCTTGAATCATTTTTTTGGAGTAACTAGACATTCTATCACTTATCTCTATTTACTCAATAGGATATGATTTCTTATCTCAAAGATAAACGTAGTAGGAGTGTTTGAGCCTAATGTCCGAAAATAATTTAACGCCTCAGTGTTTGTGGTATGATGTCTGATCGGAAAAATAATGTACTTTACAGTGAAATCTTAAAGTATGAGATCTTGCTCTGTCTGAGTCTCTGAGTTTGTTAATAGGTGCGCTATAGGAACTTATACAATTATAGCATAAGTAGCCCACTAGCGTTAAACACACAATGACGTACGTAACAACGATATAATAATGCTAATTGGGTTTATTTTTCTTCAGCACAAGCAAGGAGGTACTCTGGGCAATTTCGTGAAATGGAACTTCACCAAATTCATTGTGGACAAGGATGGAGTCCCAGTTGAGCGCCATGGACCCAATGTCGACCCATTGGACCTGGTGAAATCCCTGGAGAAGTACTGGTGATCAGCTTCACGGAAAATGGCACTGCATTTTATTTTTTTACGACATAGTAGGCTTTAGTTAAGTTGTAGATGGTTTTCAAGAATTCATTCTTTGTCTTCACAGCATTTAACTTTTACTGTTATTGACATATTGACTTTTAAATGTTTATTATATTATTTTTCACGTCTTAGAAAGGTGGATACAATTCGTAGCCATCTTTAAGCAATAATGCACACAAATACCTATAAAATTATACTAGGTATACTTTTTATTAGAATATCACGCACGACGGCATGTCGAAAGAATGTTATAGTTGGCATATTAGAAACTTATAAAATATTATATTTATATGTATAATTATGTATAAAAATTCTGCAAACACATTGTGTGATATATTGAGTAGTCTTTAAGAATTATTGTTTATTTTTTTGTGATAAAATCTATGGACATAATAATTTTGAGGTGCTTATTTTGTTCCTATTTTAGTTTGTAAGTTATCGCGACGATTACGTACATTTTGAAGTGTATGTTAACATAATTAAAGTAGTAGTGCACTAGTTCCAATAATAACCACTTAAGTAATATAAGAATTTGGTGGAAAGGAACCATCAATTAACAGAATAAGGATGTAGGTACCTACGTCCAGTACCGTCTTTACCATAAGGGCACTCGGGGCCCTTGCCCAGGGGCCCCAAAGGACCGACAATTTCTACAATGGACTCACACTCGCTACACGTTGCGCGGCAATCCGCTGCCCCGCAACGTGTAACTGTAGCGAGTTCCCACACGGAGCTTCCCACACGGGTGTCATGTGTATGTGAATTGAACTTGTATGTTAATAAATATACCCACGATACAGGAGACTGGATAGTGCATCGTAAAAAAATAAACATTTCACAAGGGCCCAAGGGCCCAGCGTAGTCAAAGACGGCCCTGCCTACGTCGCAGTTTGACGTGTACCTACTCTACCTACGTATCCGAGAAGATATATCTATATAGCCTGTTTCATAACCGCCAGAAGGCACGATCCTGTTAGAACATCGGGATAAAATGTAGCTTGTGTAAATCCCTGAAACACTATGAACACTGAGTTTGCAATTATAAAAGAATTTAATTAGGTTTCGATGCAAACCAAACATTTTTTTTACAACGGAACAAACATTTTCGAAATATATTATATTATATTTTCATATATTTATTTAAACTTTCTCTAAAATTACATTTTTAAATACTACAGTATAAAAATAATATATAAAAATAGGAGCCGACCAGTAGTGGGAGCATGGTCCAAGCTACCGGTGGTTAGGGCTCCAGAGACAGAAATCTCCTCACAATGCGCGCCGTTTCAAGGAGAACTGCCTTCTGTATCAGGCCCTTGACCCAACTGCCTAACGCTAGCCTCCTAAGGTGGTTGTCGATGCTATTAGGGATTAAACCATTGGCCGACACGACTATCGGCAGTTCGGCACAATGATAGCCGAATCTACATTCCACATGTCGACAACCTCGTGAGCCAAATCAAGATATTTGATTTGTTTATCTTTTTCAGCTTTCACGAGGTTCTCATGGTATTTATTATATTTATAAATATTCTGTACGGGAATCAAACTCGCAACGCATTGCGGCAGTAGGTTGCTTATTATAAACTTAATCATGAGATAGGTAGGTAGGTACCTACTTGGTAAGTAGTGGGCATTATGTGGCTATCTACAAATCCTAAATCCTACAGCTTAGCAAAAATGAGTTGAAACAGCGCTAGTTAATCACGTTGCTCACTCATCAATTACTTGAACTTTGAGAAAGGAAATTGAACGGATGCGTAAGGACTTACGTAAAGCGAATACGCGTTCAGCACTTTGATTGGCCGGCTCCCATGAACCAACCAATCAGAGCGCCGAACGCAGTCTCGTTTCGATTACTTTTAATGTAAAACAAACCTGTAATAAAGCCCCTGACTTCCTTCAAACTAAATTTGAATAAAATAAAAAGGATTATAATTTACAAAAAAAAATTACCTTTTGGCGCCTTTAATTTGATTTGACGAAAGAATAGACAATAAATAAATTTAGATATAAGCCTTTTTGCTCTTACTTTTTACAACATTGACATTGATTGTCTCGTGTAAGTAAAACAGAACTGTCAAGAATGTTATGATCTTCCAAGGTTTTTTTTTCATAAAAATAAATAGTTATTGTTACAATGAATATATCTGCCTAAAATGAAACAAAACTATTCAAATATGACTATCATTATTACACCATGGACCAAATAATTAATAACCCGCATTATACACGAGCCCAAACACTTCATGAATTTACAGTGAAGGACATAAAGGGTAACCTTGTTAAATTAGACAAATTTAAGGGAAATGTCTGCATATACGTAGACACTGCTACAAATTCACCCTTCACTGATATGCACTACTCGCAATTTAACAATTTAATGGATAAGTTTGCAGATACCAACGGTATGTTTCTTATTAACTATGACTACTAACTAACAACATAATCACTATGGAAAGTGGGTGTAATTGATTGTTGATAATAAGGCACCTTTGTCTATCACTTCAGGCAGAGCTATTATTCTTAAATACGCCTAGGGCGCCACATTACAGATGAGTACCGCGAGACATACATGCCAACTACGCATGCGGCTCCAAAAAAAATTAAGGGCTCGGGCGTTCTCTGGATTTAATCCGCTTCAGTCTTCAGGAATTAAAAGCGAGATCTTTTCTTATATCTAAACGGAAGTCATTCTCATTATCATCGTGATCAAATGGAAGATGGTCACTGCAGAATTATAACCTCCCTCTTAGCCTGCCACACTCAACCACAAGTTTTCACTTACTCATGACTATCTAACCACGCTCAGCCACGCTGTGTTTGCTGGAGCAGCAGAGCTGGTCCGGGGTTGCTACTCAATAGTACTTACTTCGCTCGCTACCAACTTGGGAACCTCTGTAAAAAGTTAGAAACAATGATTTAGAATAATTACTTATTATAAACCATGTGAATTACTTGTTTTGATTACTAATATTTTAACTAGATAGCCAACTAGAAACCCATTTACAAATTACGTAACTTTTTTTATACTAAGGATTGAGAATATTGGCGTTCCCTTGTAATCAATTCGGCATGGAGCCTGGTACACCGGAATCCATAGCCGCTCACGCCGAGAAGCATAACGTCAAATTCGATATATTTGCTAAAATCGATGTTAATGGAGAAACAGCTTGTGATGTATGGAAATTTATGAAGGTGCGTTATAATAAAATATTTTCTTACTTCTAGTAAATACTTTAGCATACTAATATTGATATGAGACAGGTTTTCCGAAGGCTGTTATGCGTTTTTATTACCCAGAGGATTAAGTTTGCCCACGATTTGTCTTTATATCCTTTGGACTAAAAGTGCAGCACACAAGCCAGCGGATCGTAAGTAGCTGGCAACTTTAAAAATGGTAACCAAACAACTACATATAGAGGTTTACCTCGTCCCACCAACAGAGGTAATTCAGTGCCAAAGTGTTGGGACCTCAGCATGAGTTCCAGTTATGGAGGTTTCTCACTTATCCAGGTCCCACTTAACCAAGTTTCACTGTACTACCTAACCCAAATATACTTTCTTCATGCTTGACAAGTGACCTGATAGAGCTAGATTCGTAAGTTTTTTATTAGGTACATACATAATAATATATAATAGATACCAACCAATACCTACAATAAAAATGAGTCAAAACATAATTTGAAATACTTAATATTTTTAGGCAAAAGTACCTGGTGGTGCTCACGGCAACATGATAAAAAGTAATTACACAAAATTTATTGTGACCAAAAAGGGTATGCCTGTAGAACGACACGGGCCAGAAGTGCAACCAGTAGAATTCGAACAATTACTGAACCCTTACTGGTGAACCAGAACTGATAATACTCTCATTAACCTAATTGATGATGGATTTAAATTCTGAGAATTTATCACGGCTACTAGCCTCACTATTGAAGAGAAAATATGAACGACGTGGAAGACAACATTCTTTACAAAGTCGTAATTCTCAAATCGCTACTTCTGTTAACGGAGCAAGTCTGAATCAACTATTGGAAGCGACTAATCGACGACAATGCACAACTTTATTACCGCAAACTCAAATTAATAGCTCTTCAAACACAAATCAACGTCGCAAACGTAAACAGTCACGTTTTTAACATTTACATTTTAAGTGAAAAACTATAGTTTTTTTAAATACACGCAGAAGAAACATTTTGATACCGAATGAATTTAAAATAATAATAAACTAGCAAATGCCTCCTCAAAGTTTTATTTATTTTGTTTGTCACTTGTATTTTATTAATAAAGCTACCACTAAATCCATGAATAAGAATAGATATTCTAAATATTGCCAAAATTAAGATTGTCTATTTTGGCCTATTGGTTTGGCGGTTCGCGTTAACGCGCTTTACGACTGTTTAACATGCGGTAAAATTGTCGCAAAACTTGTAATATAAGGGTTTACTTAACGCTACGTGCTGTACTGTACTGTGCGTTAAGCCTAAATTACTCTATGGTTCTCAGGTAAAATTAAATTGTCTATGACCACAATTCAACCCATACAGGGTTGACAGTTAAACGTTACATTCTGTATCTCATTCTATTTCCGTATATAAAAGTAGTAAAGCAAGATCAGTACTATTTCTGGCCAATCACAGGCGACCTTTTTAAATTCATTCTAGCGTCGTCGTTCGTTGGCGCTTGGCTTCTCTTTCTGAGGTTTTGTGTTCATTTCATTCATCGTGTTTCTGTTTATGTTGCGTACTTTCGTGGCGCTTTACAATTTTTGTTACAATTATTTGTAATTCAACGTAGTGTGTGTAAACATAAATAAATCTCAAACATTACAAGGAGTCGTGTATAGATGAATACTATATTGTGACAAGTAAATATCATCGCGTGTGGTTTTGTGATAATTTTAGACTAGACACGACAAAAAAAGAAACTAGTATTTAAATGTTGTGGTATTTCATTACAGAATGTCTACTAGAAGCGGTCGAATTAGAGCTAGCGTTATAGAAGTGAGTCCTCCCAGAACGCGTAAAGGTGTATCACCGACGCGTTCTCCCGCCAGAACGCGGAAAAGTTCGCCGCCGCCGTCCGCGAAAACTCCGCCTCCTGCACGCTCACGTTCGTCTGGTCGCAAATCTCCAGCGCGGAAATCACCCAGCAGAAAACCAGCATCTAAATTTCCTGCCCGCAAGTCGCCTTCTAGAACTACTAAAGAGACAACAGAAGTTGAGGTATTGTCCAGTGTACCAAAGTCTCCGGCAAAACGACCTCCTATAGACCTCGGTGTTTCGATCAAACTAGAAGATTTATCCTCTAAACTAGATTCCTATCGCCGTTCTACCCGGTCGAAGCGATTGGAATATTCCGTGAAAGATCTGACATCCAGCATTACAGAGAATGAGTATTCCCTTGACAAGGCGAATGGCTTAGATTCAGGCGACATATACAGCCTGAGAAACAGGCGGCCAGTCGAGGAGGTCGCGCCGCGCAGGTCTAGTAGGCTACGGGAATTCATTGACAATGTCCCTGACATCAGGCGGAGTCTTAGCAAATCTTTAAGTCAGAGTAAATCTGTAAGCAAATCTGCCAGTAAATCTTTAGAAACATACTCGGATGAGGACAATTCTGAGGAAGAGTACCACAAAGAAAGGGAGAAGTCGAAGTCTGTGACAAGGAGGTTGGCGACTCCACTGCGGAACAGCATCAATAGCTTGACCCATACAGCAAGCAAGTGGGAGTTTGGTGGTAGAATTGGGTCCCTCGGTTTAATTTTACTGATACCTGCAACAGTATTTTCTATTTTAATATCTTGTAGGAAATCTTGTTCACCATTATCATTATTAGATCTGTCTGCATACAAATCTGTGCAAGTTTTGTTTAGTTTACACTCATTGTACTTCCTCGTTGTGCAATGTGTAATCCAAGCTATATTTGCAATTGTACCAGTATTTGGTATAAGTTCAGACCGCATGGATGAGTCTGGTACAAGACACTGTTTTAATGCATTTTTCTCCAGCTTGGTGACAATAAGTAGCCTCTTTGTTCTCGATTACTTCCATGTTATTAACAAGGGGACACTACTGAATGAATGTCTGACACTTGCAGTAATTTCATACATTTTTGCTGTTGTACTGAGCATTGTGTTGTATGTGAAGAGTAGTAAACTTGCAAAGGACAAGTTGAATCAGTATGGAACCACTGGATATACATTGTATGACTTTTTCATGGGAAGGGAAATTCATCCATTTATCAAGAAACTGGATATTAAGATTTGGATTTCAAGAATTTGTAACATTACTTCTGTAAGTATATTATTATATTTTTTCTTTAACTATTGTAAGTGTTATAGGACTTTAAATACTTATAATTAAACAACAAGTTGATTTGAACAGTCTTATTGGGTTTATCTAAATCAAACCAACCACAGTAAACTGGCACTATAAATGTAGTAGGAAAAAGGTAATAAAAAAGTTCTAACTCGACCGCAACAATTTATAAGTAAACGAGGAAAGTAGAATAAAAATATAATTTATAATAAATAAAATAAATATGTATGTAAAAATATTCACTATACTTATTTTGTTTCAGCTCATTTTACTGTCCCTGATCTTCACACAAGGGCTTTCAATACGATTGCCTCACAAACATGACCTGTCATTGGAAAACTGGAGACAGTTTGTGGATAGCATGGAGTTGAAGCCAACAATACTTGTGTTTGCTATAATGCAGATTGTATACATTCTAAACTTTATAATGAAGGAGCACAAGATCACGACGACGTTTTACTGGCATTCAGAAGGGGTAGGGTACCTTCAGGCAGTCGCAAGTGCACTGTACCCATACTACTTCACAACAATATCTAAACATGTGGCAGACACAGACTTAGTTCTGTCTACTAACACCTTAATCTCTGCTTCTCTACTATATGTGCTGGGATTCTTTATAATGCTTGCTAGTAACAATATTAAACACGAATTCAGGAAAAATCCTCTACATCTGAGCTTGGCAAGTAAGTAACAATTATGCTATTTATTTAGGCATTTGTATTCGTTTTTATGCTTTATTTGTACCTGGTTATATGGGTATACAATTGTTGTTAACTAGCAAAATTATGTTTAGTTGCATTGTAAACAATCTAAGGTTGTTTTTAATTAATATGCAAAAATCTAGTAATTTTTCCGTAACAAGCAAGCTTACACACACACATACATACATAAACTCACGCCTTTGTCCCATAGGATACACAGAAATGACACCTATAACTTACCAGAACCCTTAATTATATTAAAAAATAATGTAACTAGTTACCTACTGAACCTATTAAATGTTTAAGACATAAAAGTGTACATAGAATTTCTTATTCTAGCATAATTTAAATATTGGTTTATTTTCAGACGTAGACTCCATGCCGACGTTCCATGGAAAGAAGCTGTTGGTCTCTAATTTATGGGGAATCCTGCGTCATCCGAACTATACAGGTGACATATTGATTCATAGCGCTCTAGCATTGCCTGGGATCATCTCTAGACAGTATATAGCGGCAGTTCCGGCCATCCTGACGATCTTAGTACTGATGCATCGTGCGTGGCGGGACCATGAACGGTGCAAGAGGCGCTACGGAGCAGCCTGGCAGAGATACTGTAAGAGAGTACCATCAGTACTCTTACCGAAAATTCTTTAATTTCTATTCTGACTTACATTAATATACTGTTGTGCATAAACCTCTTCCAGAAATAGACTATAATATTTTTTGCTGCTTGAATGAATAACTCAATATCTTAGAAATCTCTATGTATAAAAAATACAAACTTTAATGAACTTGGATGTCAGATCTTATAAATTAAGAGCACATTACCATTGAGTAATGTAGATTTAATTATATTAAATGTATTTTAGATTATTATGTCAGAGATTTTAATTTATGTACATAATTATTATATGTATACAACTTACAATGTATTTGAAGCAATAATGCATCACAGATAATGCAATGAACAATATTTTCGAGATCTCTGTGTGAAGATATTTTTATTGAGGTTTTATTATACCTAGATGTATTTTCTACTAACAGTAGTTTAGTGTTTGTGTAAAATTTGGTACTGCCTTACGAAACCACCGTACAAAATTCGAAATTTTATAATATTAGCTCTCTATTACTAATCTAAATTAGGTATTTGATTTTTTTTTAGAAATTGACTTATACTATCACTAATATAGTGTTCGTATATTAGAACTCGTGTGTTCATGTTTCATTATTAGAAGAAAAGTACATGGGGAATTAGCTAATTCTAGAAAATATTTGTAACTTTTAAGACTAATGATCTGTTTGATGTTTCTCTTTACTAACATGATGTGTTCTACTTAATAATTGGTTGCCAGAGTTGTTGCATCTTGATAATATTAAGAAGAGTACATGTTTAATATATTATTATTACACTCTTTTTAAGACAACCTTATAATACATACTTAGTACAAAATTATCTAAATTACAAAATTGACGAGGACCAATAAAATTAGGCGAATAATTTTTAAGACTCATTTCGAACGTAGTTTGTATTCTAGAAGATAAGTTGTTAAATGTAACAACATTATTTACAATTTATTACGATCAAATTAATGATTGGATATTTATTAGGGCTCAATTTTATTAGTAGGTACTAATTTGACGAAAAATGAAATTTTAATTGTATTTTTTTACGAATTTTAGATGTGGTAAGTTGGAAATTTTGGCCGTTGTTTATAAAAGTGCCTCTGTATTAGAATTAATATTGTTCGTAGAGTTGTTTCGGACATTCATTTTGTTGTAATTGTCGATTGCTCAAAGGATTAGCACAAATTAAATATTGGACTTACATTTAGTATGTCTAAATACTTAAGTATGCCGCCTTCTTGGAACAATGATGAAATCTAGTTTTGTAATCTTGCTATGCAGCAACTTTTGCCATATTAGAAAGAAATAATGTTTTGTTCGAAAATGTTCTTGCATTTAATTTTAATCTTAATTCTTCTTCTGGTGTGTTTTTATGTCTTTCATTTTTAATTATGCTTTTGTCATAATTTAAATAAAGATTTTGTACAAAGTGTAATTGGTGTTTATTTTTTCATACATTCATTTCTATTACCTATACACTGAGTAGAAAAGGTACAATACCACCTAACCCAGGAGTTGAACCTCAAAACTATCAGTAAAAAAGCCATGTTTTCAATAAAACACGAATTACTCGAATTTATTTTTCTATAAAATACACATACAATTTGTAAATAAACAATTCAATATTCAAATATCTAATGTACAGATTTCGTTCCTAAACATATTCATTACGTCCACGCTATAATGTACTATTACACCGATGCTGGATCATTATGCAACAATTACAACATCAAATTAACATACTGATTAATTGATTACGTTTAAAAACAATGTGTGGGTTGTTTCTTTTGTTAGACATAGCACGAATCTACAAAAAGACTGATATGTACTTCATTTTCCGTGGATATTAGGAATAACTAATTCTGTCAAGATCATAGGCTGCCGCGGCGTTATTTTAAAGAAAAGATATTTTATGAAATAATGCCCGTGAAGAAGCAAGTACTTGCTGATTGGGGAATTGCAATGTCTTACATTAATTCTGATGTAAACCTCTGAAAGCAATCCTGGAGCGGCGCCCATTGTCAAGCTTCAAGCCGATCGCTGGAAAAGCCTTGGATAAAATATGACATCGCATTTCATCGGAATTAATTCCTATGGGACAAAACAGCATCTATATACTAAATTAACTAACATCAAGTACCTGTAGATTTTAGACTAGTACATGGACCTTAAGACAAAATCGATATTATTTTACCATCCTAATAGGCCTATTAAACGCTCTGAATTTATTAACCGGTGCAATCTTTTAGGTAGGATTTAAACAAACGATAGAACACGACTAGCTTACACAAGGCTGCACTTACATAAGGGTCATTTTGGCACTAAGACATTTATTTTAGGTTTAAATCATTGTGAACTAAATAAAATACATGAAAATGGAAGTTACTGTAGTAAATTAAGAAAGAACTTAAAATTATACATAGTTTTCTTGTTTATCTAATTTAATAACTTCTAATTTTTCATCATAAGATTGTGTTTTAATCCTATATAATAAATATCTTTTATATATTATAAACAAAAATAAACAGTAGATACAACCTCAGCCAAACCCTTTGGGCATTACAGGCGTGATGGTTAAATGTAACCAATTTTTGACAACGGTAATAGAATATCATACTAGGTATACATAACTTTAAGGGTAGGTAGGGGCTTATCAAAGTGGTTGGTAAGATAGTTTGAACGTAACGGTATTATTGGGAAGACACACATAAACCTTACCTATGTAAGCTCGACCAATAAAACAATGTTTAAAATTTACATGAAAATATTTCCACGTGATGTCGTTAGCTAAAACGTTCTAAGCACAATGTGGTCGTCTAACGTGTAGGTAACTATTTCGTATTAATTTATTATCAAACATAAAGTATCTTAACATCATTTAGATTTATTATTTCATCACCTTTTAATCACATTACATAATATTAATAATTTTAGTGCTGGTATTATTTGCGTGTCATTTTATAATATTGTTTTCTCTATATTAAAATACGATGTTATTTAATGCCACTAGTTATTTGGTTCCATTTAACATTTACTATGAAAATATACATGTTAAAAATCTATAATATCAGTATTTACAAAGTATATTTACATTCATGGTATCTTCTTTAGAAAATATCGTTATTTTTGAAGTAAGAGACAGTGAGAAGTAGAGAAGGTTGTTATTCAAACAATATTGAGTTTAAGTTAATATATACAAATAAAATGTAGAATAAACAACTTATAATAGTTTTAAAAATTAACAAATAAAACAGAAAAGTGTATGAAATCGATTTATTAGGATAATTAGGAGACTTTATGGCAGTGTTTTTAAGACTCTTTTTGCAAAGAATTTATTTTCTATTCAATTTGGTTATTGCTAGCTACGGTTTAACTTGTCATCTCTCTAGCTAGTGAGATGAGTAGTATTTTTAAAACAAGCAATTGAGATTGAAAGTATCTATAAAAAGCTTGGAAATATTTAGGTAAGATTAGTAATAGCTGTTATCAGCGTTAGATTTTTTTTAATACTTATAAGTAGGTACGGTAACGGTAGGTATGCATACTATAAAATATCTTAAAGGAAATATTATTCTAAATACTATGAAAAATGGCCGGAACAATTTAAAATTAAGGAAAGTAAGTTTTTGAACGATTTGAAGAATTAATTTTAATTTATAAAGATGTCGATAAATGTTATTATCCATTTATTGTAAGTAATGTCTCAAGAAATACGCATATTACCACTGATTTCGTGTTTTTTTGCAATTACTTCTTTAATGCATTTTCTGTCTAGTAGGCCCCACAAATTACTGGTCGGAAAAGCTATGTCCGTCTCATTACTTCCTACTTCCTTCCACAAGCTTTGTTCGCACTGCGCTAGTATCTTAGTCAAGTGGCGAGTTCTTAATAGTTCTCTCTTGCTTCGATTTTGGGACAGAAGCGAGAGAAGGCTACTAAATACTCGTCACTCGACTAAAATACAAGCGTAGTGCGAACAAAGCATAATGGTCTATTGTTTATTATTATTATAATATTTGGAAAATAGTATTAATATTCTTTTGAAAACGAGTTTGAAAATATAGGTAGGTAGGTAGTTTCTATTTTACGTATGGATGGCACGATTTAACCAATTATTTTTTTATCATATTATTATGTTTGATCCACATTATAAGAAGAAATTTCTATAATATCTAGTTGAACAGCATTAAAATATTTAGTTTTAAATTTAATTATTATCAGTGATATTCACGTAGAACTACCATTTTGAATACAGAGATCTTTAGATAAAATACTATATAGGTATTTTAGATTTAGATTATCTTAGAAGTTTTCTAATAGGTAGAACGCCTTGGTTAAAGTAGAACTATTAAAATCTTGTGTAATACTTCTATTAAGTAAAATATTCATAGAATAGATTTTATAATGGCAATTCGGGTTCAAGAACTAGTCAACTATGCAGGAAGAATGGTTTATCTACATATATTCTCGGCGAATAATATAAAATTAAAAAGGCTTCCAATAGTACAGACGGCATTGTTAGCCCGGTCAGAGGAATGTTAAGATACAAAGCCAGTTAGAGCTGACTAAACTAGCGAGGGTCTAACAAATTGCCCATTAAAGACAAGAATACCGCTAGAATATACGATAAAACTATAATTATTGGAATTATAACAAGTTCTTAACTGGACACTTAATTCTACTAAATTAGTAAAGGTCCTAACGTAGTTATTAGTACAAAATAAGCCGCACATCATTCCTTGTTGATGTCACACCTATTACATACAAAACAAGTCCACATTTCTTGTTACACACATAGCAACTGGCGTCATTTCTATGAGTCCAGTATTTTCTTCGCTAAAGCTTCTTACAAATAAGGCATTTCTTTTTACAATAACATCGTAATTCAATCAAAGATACAGCGTGTATCTTTCTTTACGTCATTCTTAAATTGGTCTGGTATTAACAATTATAGGGGGTAGCTATCTGATTGGTTACACAAAATCTATGACACCGAGTGGTATAATACCGCACTACTAACATTCGTTTTC